AACCAAAATAAATTCCTAAAATCTATAATCCTCCAATACGATGGACCACCTCCTCTCCAAATACTCCCCGCTGTCGCCCTCCTGCAATCTGCAGCCGTTCCATCTCCTCCGCTCTTCTCCCCATTTCATCGGCGACACCATCCACCCAAGTCCCAACCGCCTTCTTTATCTATGGAGTAACTTCTGCTCCGATCGAACACCCATCTCATTCCGCCGATGCCCTCCTCGCACCGGACAGATACTGTCCTGGCGGTGGTCGCGGCGTTGCTGTGAGAAACCAGGGAATCCTCGTAGAAAAAAAATAAAACAATTGTAGCATACAAATATTGTTACTCTCTCCCCATGATCATCTCCAATCCACCCATCACAACCTTCCGCACCGTCTTATTATTGGCAGCAGGGAGTACTTTGCTGATAGTGATACTGGCGTTTCTATTCCCCATGCACCTCCGGATGGGCCGCTGTCGAGAACTAAAAAAGCAAGCTCCGTGAATAGTTTTATGTGCTTAAAAACAAATTGTTAATTAATAATCCTTAACTAAATTGGAACTTCTTATTTCCTTTCCTTCTTGTTCTTCTCGTTTGATTTGGATTGACGACTTTAGTAATCTCCGGAGAGTAGAGGAGAGATCCTTGTAACGTGGCAGCAGGTAGCAGTTTGATTCCGGGAGAGAGTGTTTTTTTCGTTTTTTATATGTGTAATTGTGCTTGTTATATACGAAGAAAGAAAAATAAAAGGGATAAAAAGGTCATTTTAATGTTTAAGTTAGGGCGATTTAGTAGAATCTAGGGCGATATTTAGCAATCCCCAGGGCATTGCTATTCGTCACCCTAAAATTTCTTATTTGTCGCCCTAATTAAATTAAAATTACTCTAATGTCCTTAATTCATTTATTTCTCTTTCAAACACTTAAATCCAAAACAAACTCATATACTTACATCAAATAACGAATATCAAATAATTCTATATCACATTGGTATATTTGTAATAGTTAATTAATAATTCCAATAGCATTTTTTTAAATCAGTTCGACTTGTCTTCAATAGCGGCGACCGGGTTGAAAAATCGCCGGCGACAGGTACGTCCGCCGCGGCAACATAATAATAATAAAAAATCATCCTTGTGGCATTGGTCGTCGTCTTCTTTCTGGCAGTGACACCGGTCGATTAGCAACGGCGGTAGGACTTAGGATACAAGTAGTATTCTCGTCCGCTTCGTCTGCCTTCTATCCGCTTCGTCTGCCTTCATCTTCCTCCCTGTGGTCGATGACAACGTCGTGATTGGGGTGGGCGTCGGATTTGGGTTGTGGAGGGAATTTGGTCGGCGGGAGGGATTGGGGTCTGGGGTTGGAGGGGTTTTGGGCGGTCGATGAGGGTGGGGGAGTAGTTGCTGGCGGCAGATTTGGGTGGGGAAGAGACAGGGGATTGTTTGGGTGGATAGAAATTGAGTTGAGGGTAAATATGTCAATTTGTTGGGTTTTAGGGCGACAAAATTTAAATTTTAGGGCGACGAATAGCAATTCAGAATTTATTTATGGTGTGAACTGTGAAGGCAAATAAGCAATGGAGTCTCTCATTTTGGCCCAATCTCTTTTGAGCACTAGCCCGAAGAAACTATATAAGTTGGATAACTATCAGATCACTGGACTGTGGCCCGCTCATTTCGGCCCAACCTCTTTATTGAGCACCAGCCCTAAGAAACAAATATAAGTTGGAGAAGTATCAAATCATTGGGTCGTGGCCCAATTCACTTGATAAAATATCGTACGGGTATGGTACGTATTTAACTCAAATGTGCAGGATTTCGAGTATCTTCCCGATTCCCTTTTCACATGCGTTGGTGCATTGACTGTGGTTAGAAGATAACTCTTTGGTAGTTAGGATTATGTATTCTAATTGATGTATTCTAATTAGATGTATTTATGTTCGTGTATGAATTTGAAAAATAAATTGTTTGGAGGTGTTTTCCGGCGAGGAAAAACTTGTGTTTGAACTCAATAAATGCACCTTGACTTCTTGAACAACGATTAATAACACGATTCACTCCTCTCCGAATAATTTTCGAACGAGGGTGTTTGATGGTTTTTTGGGAACAAGCTAAATTAATTACACCTACTCCTATGGAGGTTCAGTGAGAGCTCCAAAAAAACTAAAAGGTAAGTTGCAGAGAAAAGATAAATTTTGACATTGTACGTCAAATGTTTGGTTGTGGAACCCCTGCTTCGTTTTCGTTTCTCCTATTTATAGTCATCCCTTGTAACCGTCGTGCAACCGCCTCTTGGTAACCGCTGCTCCACTGCTTGGTGTTTGATGTAGCTTGATTGACGCCTTGATTGTCTTGCGTGTTTGCCACTTGATGACTTCACTTGATAGCTAACCCCTTGTGTCATGGAGGTGTCTTGTTTGGTGAGTGAAAGCTTCACACTTGGTGGTACTCGTGCTAACCACCTTGACATGACGTCATGCTCGACACCAGGGTGCTTGGGGGTTTGATGGATGCACACTGACCCCCTTGGGGTGGCAGCATGCTTGCGAGGTCTTGACAAGGTGGTCTACCATGTGATGATACACATGGCTGACATAACTACCCATGAGATGTATGTTACTTGTGACGATGTCCTTGCACGACACCATGCTTGACACCCCTTACATGAATCGTGATTAACCCCTCTTGCATGACATCACGCTGGACCCCCTGGCACGATGTCATGTTTGACCCCTCTTGTGGTTGGTCTCAACACTTAGCCAATTTTCACCTCTTTTTGTCATGCTCGATACCCCGAGTGTAAGGGTAGGTAGGCGGCTTGACCCCATTGTGGTGTCATGCATGAACCCCTTGGGATGATATCATGCCTGACCCACTTTGTGGTTGGGTATTAGGGGTGGCTATTTGGACCGGGACCGGATTAAAAACCGGAAACCGGACCGTATAACCCGGACCGGGACCTGATAGTAAACAATCCAATCCAATCTTTGGGCTTAGATTTGAGGTAAAAGACCGGATAAGAGAGCTCAACACCCAAAACTTAAGGGTAATTTGCATAAACGGTCACAAACCTTTGCACTTAGTACAAAACTTAACCAACTCCTCACCCTTTAAGGCCTTAGGCCACTCAAATCCCACAATCTCAATGTAAAATCAAGACCGAATTGGGACCGGACCGGATCAAGACCGGACTGTATCCAATCCAATCTTTGGTCCTTATATTTTCAAAAAGACCGGACTGGACCGGATCAATTTGGGCCAATTTAACCGGACCGGACCGTATAGCCACCCCTATTGGGTATCATGGTACCTGATGCTTGACCCCCTTGGACGATGTCAGGCATGACCCCCCTCGTGGTTAAGGCTCAACACTTAGCCAAATTTCTCCATCCTTTGTCGCCATTTTCTAAGGGGTCTCTTTTTGTACGACATCATGTTTGACACCCTAGTCCAAGGTAAGTAGGCGGCATGGTATTTGGTGCTTGACCCCCCTTGCATGACTTCATGCTTGACCCCCCTTGTGCTTGGGTCCCAACACTTAGCCGATGTCGCTCCCGCCATGCCGAATTGGGTGGTATCATGCATGACCCCCTTTGTACACTATGACATGGTAGGTGGTCGGCCGACAAGGGTCTTGATACTACCACGTCTAGGGGTACTCGTGATAGCTCTCCTTGCACGACATTATGCTTGACACCCTATCTCTAGGTAGGTAGACAACATAGTGCTTGACCCCCCTGGGATGATGTCATGCTTGACCCCCCTGGTGGTTGGATCTCCATACTTAACCAATCTTCACCTTCTTTTTCCGTATCACGTTGCACGACATCATGCTTGACACCCTAGTGCAAGATATGTAGACGACATAGTGCTTGACCCCACTTGCATGACATCATGCTTGACCCCCCTGGGATGATGTCATGTTTGACCCCCTGGTGGTTAAATCTCAACACTTAGCCAATTTTCTCCTTCTTTCCCCGTCATGTCTAGGTGTAATTACCCGCGAGGTAGGTAGGCGGCTAGTGGGGCAAAATTTTGGCTAAGTATGATGGGGTGCCCACTTGGGTGGTTGATGTTGAAGGGTGTCAATGCTTGGCGCTTGACTCGCTATGACACAACTCCTAACAATGGCCAAGTGTAACCAATGAAAGGGACTGCAGTATAGTGGCTCAAGTAATAAATATCGAATCCACGGGTCTCTAGAGTTACTATTACTCAGCTTCAGTTCATTATCTAGCAAACCAGATTAAGATGGAAGAACTAAAACTACTCTAACAAACTACAGTTAAAGTTAATCTAATTATAGGTTGGGAACTCACTTAGGTATGATTTCCCCTAGCCACTAGCCAGATTAATGGTTGATGATCTCTAACTTGTTTCACTTTCATTCACAATGCGGAGAATCCTTGACTAAACCTTGAATCTTGACTAAAGGATCAAGGCCCTCTTGAGTCAATTGCCTAGAGAGACGTATCCTTCTCTAGAACAACCGATCAAGGCGTTCTGAACTAAATTCCCTCTATTGAATGAGGTTCTCAATTAATACAAAGCAGTGAATCAACCATCGACTAAAGAAATTGATCCAATACTATCAATCTATGGTGCTCTATTGACCTAATCAGGTATTCGCTCTCATAGGATCAAAGCAGAATCAATAATCTCGACTAAAGCAGAATTGAATCATGAAAACATGCATAGATTGAATATGAACTCAAGATTATCAAGTAAGAGTACTCATACAATTGTCCAATCAAACAAACATAGCTAGGGTTCTTCAAAACCTAAGTGAAGGGAAGTTACTCCATAGGGAAGAGAGAGACTGCGGTAAGAATCTTCGGATGATCAGTCTTCAAGTCCGGGCTTGTTCCTCGAGCTTCCAAGGCGAAGAAATCCTCCAATTCAACTCCAAGAATGCCCTCAAATCGCCCTCTCTCTGCAAAAAACGCACAAAACAGGCTTTTAACTAGGGGTGGGATTCGGTAATCCGGTAAACTGTTTACCGTTTTACCAAACCGGTAACCGGCGGTAAACGGTAAACTGTTTACCAGCAGTATCGGCGGCCGAGAGAAAATATGGGTGTGTCGGTATACCGAATCCGGTATCGGTAAATACCGACGGTAAGTCAATAATACCGATACCGAACCCCAATGGCCAAAACCAGCAATCCCTGCTGAAAGCTTCAACCCTTCCAGCTTCCCCGACTCTCCTCCAATGGCCGCCACCTCTCTAACTGCTCCAAAGCTCACTTTCTCTCCTACCCTCCAGTCCCTCTACAGAAACTTCACCATCCCCATCCCTCTATCTTCTTCTTCTCCTTCTTTCCTCTCCCTCCGCAAAACCCTACCCTCCCACCACTCTCGCTCCTTCTCCCTCTTCCAACAACCCCGCTGTCAATTCACCGCTCGCGCCGACTCCGACAATGGCACCGAGTCGCCACGTCAGTACGATTTTGACCTCTTCACCATCGCGCCGGGAGCGGCGGTGTGCGTGCCTCGCGCTTCGCCGCCAATTTCGGCGCCTCTGTTGCCATCTGCGAGCTTCCCTTTGCCACCATATCCTCTGACACTGCTGGGGGCGTCGGCGGCACGTAAGTAATCTCTTCTGCACAAAATGACATAAATTGAGGATAATAAATTATCATTTAGTTTCGTTAGGAATCTGCGGCGGGCGTCAGCTTGCCAGTGATTTAGTCAGGAGTCAGGACAAGAGTTATTGTGTGAAATTGTTGCCAATGTGGTTCTGCCAGTAAAAGTGTCATAATCAAAAAGAATATACCAGAATCATTCAAGTACTCAATATTTTGCTTTACATGCCACTGTGAATAGTTGAAAAGCACCCCCTGGATCTCTTGGTTTCAAGCGGCTGATACATGCCCTTTGCGGTAATTCGGTAAACCGGTTTGTAACCGTTTACCGGTAATTCGGTAATCGGTAAACCGGTTACAAACCGGTATCGGTAAACGGTAAACAGTTTGGCCACCCTCGGTATACCGAAACCGGTAAATTCGGTAAACGGTTTACCGTTTACCGACCGATTCCCACCCCTACTTTTAACAATCTGTGTTCGCGATCCCCGGTCGGGTATTTTAGGTGTTGACCGGGGATTGTTGAAACGCACCGTCGAGGACAGGGGATTAATCCCCGGTCAAGGTCAAGAATACCCGACCGGGGATTTATGCTCAATGCCCGGGCCCCCTTCTGCTTCTCAAACGCCCAAAAGTGATTTTCCCCGGTCTGCTCAGATTAATACCCGGTCGGGTATTTGTGCTCATGGTAGGGTATTTTGCTCCTCCAGCACACTTCAACTCAAACGTGCTCCTTTCGACCCGAAACTCGTTTCTTTGCCTCGATGCCAACGCCAAGCCCTGAAATATGACATAAACACACAACCTAGCGTGAAATAGGCTTAAAACACGAGAATCAATATCTCAAACGGCTCAAGAATAGGGGGTAAAAACATGTGCAATTAACGGTCTATCAACACTTGACCCCTCTCGGGTGAGGGGTGAGTGTTTGGTGGGTCAAGGGGTGTGTATTGAAGTACCTGGCATGAAGCCCAAAATTCCATAATTCAAGCCCAACTCAAGCCAATTTAATTAATGTGCTTAATTTGGCCTTATCATCACTACCACTCCTTGAAAATAATCAATGTGCTATTGAGTGATTTTAGTGGTAAAGAGGAGGTTGAAAGATTTCGGTGGTCCGTCAAAAAATAAGAAAGAAAATATGAGAAATTAACAATAATCCATAATAAATTATTTCGATCGATACATGGTGAAAATATTTTTTTTTTATGGATGATGAGACCAAGTATTATTACCAAAACGAAGTAAAAGAAAAGAGGATACAGGGCCACTAAATGGAAGAAAAAACTCACACAAATGTGGGACAAACAAGAAAAAAACGAAAAAAGAAAGTAGAAGATGACAACAGGCTACAAAAATGGAGAAAAACAAATACAAACAAAAAAGTCAAAACTAACTTACATCAAAAGTCAAGAAAAGAGCACAAAAAAAAAAATGAAAGAGGAAAAAGAAGAAGAAAAAGAAAGAAAAAATTTGATACAACGACGACAGATATTTACTCACCCTGCCCCAATCCTCAACCAATGTTGAAAATAGTCATCAGAGATAAGTCCAAAAGCCCGCAGCCACCTGCCGACCATCTGAACAATCTTACTGCAAACCTCAGACTGTGTAGCTTCAAAATCGCGGAAAATTCTGTTGTTTCGCTCGTTCCAAATGGACCAAAACACCGCATGTGGTAAGCACTTGACACAATCCTTGAGTTTTGGATCACACCACAATTCTCTCCAAGCCGGGAGAAAACAATTGATATTAGCTGGAAATGGACCGTAAAACTGAAATATCTTTGTAAATTTGGCCCAAATTGTCGCCGAAAAGGAGTATGAGAATAAGAGATGTGAGACGGACTCCTCTTGGGATTTGCATAGAGAACACCAGTTGGTAAGAATCATGCTCAAATGCTCCAGGACAATGTCATCCAAAGTAGGAATCTCTTTTTACTCACGATCATAGTATGAGGAAGAGCAGTTGGGAATTTTCACAAAACATAGGTATTTGAGGGGAAAATATGCTCATGTATGCTTATATGCTTATATCGATGATTGAATTCCCCACTTTGAAGTGGTATAATAGTTTTTTTTTTTAACTGCACTAGAGTTCATTCACACAAAATTGATTTATTACCCTTTAAACAAATTTCCCAATTAAAACAAACTCTAATGAATCAGGGTTTTTTTCTTTTTACAAAAGATAATCTTATATTGATTCGAACATAAGATAGTTCCATCCTGGAATTCAGCCAGGTCTGAAAATCAAAGAAATGACTAATAGTCGGGAACACAATGAGAGAGCCTTTCTAGCCACCATATGGGCGACCCTATTACTATGCCGAGCTACAAATCGAACACTAAACCCCGAGTTGATGGCAAAGTACTGCACGACCTCTTCAAGTATGGCCCCCCATCCGGTTATCCCTTGTATCAACCTGATTAATCTTGTCAATGATTACCTGAGCATCCCCTTCAAACCTCATTTTGGTGAAGCCCCGTCCTAGGCACCACAGGATAGCCTCCCGGACCACAAGCAATTCGACAACCATTGGGTCATCAATTACTGGGAATTAGATCCCTTTAGCCAAAAGGACCTCCCTATCTTGGGTCAAAATAACCATCTCTCCTGTCGAATGAGACCCACTCCTGGTAGCCCCATCCCACATACAAACAGCCATATTAGCCCCCCCCCCGGCTACTCTGTTGTACTACAGGGATGTGAGACCGAAGCACTCGATCCACCTGCAAGCTTACCCACTACTCGTATTGCTGGTGCACTGGCGCATCATGGCAGGGATCCCATATTGTTTGCCCTCAAAGACAAACCAGTTACGAGACCGCCAGATACACCAAAGAACGACCACAATCGCAATGAACAGAGCAGGTTGATGTACGAGAGACATCAAATTTTTCAGGAACAAAGGAAAAGTAAGACGAGGCAGCCCTTGGCCAAGATACTCCAACCCCGAGTAGTCCCAAAGGGGACACGCCACCGAACAATAGAGAAACAAGTGTTCCATAGTTTCAGATTTAACCCAGCAAACCGGGCATCCGGGGAGAACGAGAACATCCTTCTCGATTAGGGCTTCAGTAGTTGGCAGAATTCGGTGAAAGATTTTCCAAACAAATACCTTCAACTTAGGCGGAATATTAGATTCCCACAAACGAATCCAACTGGCCCGATCCATCTAACTCATCATAGACCGCCAAGGGCCATTCTGTTTGTCCAAAGAGACAACAAAGTGGTAGACTAACTTAACAGTAGATATTTCTCCTGCCGTGCCGTGCCATGCCAAATCAATATATCCTCTAAATTATGACGTGGAAGAGGAATAGCTTTGATGGCCCGACAGGTGGGCGGATCAAACCACTAACTAAGTTTTAGGTCATATCAACGCCCCTCCCCTTGACAGATAACCTCAACGACAGGCAGGTCACCCCTATCCGGGAGTACCCGAGGATTATACACCAGGGGAGAGGTATGCGAATGAGGAATCCAGTTGGAATGCAGTAAAGTGGCAGTCCGACCATTACTAATCTGCCAGATTAACCCTGCCTTCAACAACTCCCTACCTTAGAGGATACTCTGCCATCCCCAAGATGGGCGAGAACGAGCCTCAACATCAAGAAAAGTACCATTCGGGAAATATTTTTCTTTGTAAACCAGAGCTAAGAGTGACTAGGGTTCCGAGAGTATACGCCAGGCAATTTTGGCCAACAGTGCTTGATTAAACTGTTCAAAATGACGAAATCCCGTGCCCCCATCGTGTTTACTCGTGCACATATTACGCCAAGATACCCACCGAATCCTTGAATGACCATCCTCCATACCCCACCAGAACCTTGCCACATACCTATCCAAGAGTCAACAAAGAGACAGAGGCAACTTGAAACAAGACATCACATGTAAGGGTAGAGCTAAGGCGACAGATTTGATCAATGTCTCCTTAGCCACCCATGACAACGTCCACTGCTTCCATCTCTTTAATTGGTCTAGTAATTTTTCCTCTAAATACCGGAAAGTGGCCATTTTAGACTGGGCAATCAGAGAAGGCAGTCCCATGTATTTATCATGGACCCCATATCGCCCCGACACCCAGAATATGAGCCAAGAACTCTTAGTCTAGAGGAGCTATGTTCTTACTAAAGCAAACGGTCAATTTTGCCAAGTTAACTCTCTGGCCACTTAGCTCCTCATAGTCATTCAAGACCTCGATCAAGTTCTCACACTCCCGAAGAGAGCCTCGAAGAAATAAATAAGAATCATCGGCAAAGAACATATGCGAGATCCCGAGAGCGCGAGGAGTCACTTTGAACCCCTCAAGTTTTCTCTCGGAGATGAGTTTTGAGAGGAGTGCTGCAAACCCCTCTGTACATAGCACAAACAGAAGAGGTGATAGAGGGTCCCCCTGCCACTTTGACCCCCTCAATCAGGTTCATTTGCTTTTTAAAATAGTTTTTATTCTACATGGTGTAACTGCAAGTGTAGAAAGAGTATTTACAACTTTGTGTTATATTATGAAAAAAATTCGAAGCCAAATTTGCGACCAGTTTGCTAATAATTGTTTAGTGAGAGTAACACTAGTTTTGAACTTGGAGGTCACAGGCTCAAATCTCTTAAGTAGTATCTAAACCATAAAAGTAAACATATGACATCCTTGTAAAAGAAAGTGTTTAGTGAGATATATTAAAAAAAACTTACATAAGGGTGTAGATAACGATTGTATTTTACATTTTGTTGACATATGAAAATGTGTCGCGACGGCTATGAAAACAAATGCTTGCATATATTGCAGCTGGCTTGCTTCATTGCTACCACAATTAGCATTTGGTCATTTACTCAAAGACCACAACAGGATAACCCTCTGGAAGTGCTGGTTCAGACGCCTTCAACAATCACCAACGGTTCTCCGCTTGCATTGTAGATCGTCCACATCAATGCAATTTCAAAAGCAATTGCATTTGTGCTCTTTTTTGCTGACTCAATTTTTTTGCAATCCACCTCAAAATCACTTTCAGTCACCTACATCAATGCAATTAACTTGTTGTATATGTAATTAGATATTGTGTTTAAATTCTATAAAATAAAGTAAAAGAGTAAAGAAACTAATATAAAATAAAAATCTTCATTTTTAGGCCTTTTAACTTGCATATGCAATTGCATTTGTTGCAAGCTTGCAAATATGCAATTGGTAGCCACATCAATGCAATTAGTTTTGCCATTGCAAACAATGTGGATATGTAACAATGTTTGAACTATTCCTCCAAGTTTCAATGATATAATCATATGAGTAGTTAGTTTAATAACTTGGGGTAAAGGGTACACGGGCCGAAATAGAACTATTTCAAGACAAGATATATTCCTTTTCTTAAAAAGATAGACAAGGTACCTATTGCAATCTACATCACTACATGTATACATCAAACCAACCCTTGCAGGATGGTTCAAATAATCGAGTTTATGATTAACATTGACACCACCATACTATTATTATTTAACAATCATGTCCTTGCTATATGTCGAGTTTTACACATGCATAGTATGATGACATTACAGGATGCGGGTTACATCGGCCCGCAATTTACATGGTCGAATAGACATATGAGGGCAATGAAACGTGACCAGGGCAATGCAGGTGTGAGATCTCATGAATGAGCTCGCACTACACGATGCATGTTACATCAACCCACAATTTACGTGGTCGAATAGATGTATGGGGGCGGTTTGTATAATGGAAAGACTTGATCGTGCATTAGTCTCCCCTTTATGGGTGGAGAGGTTTCCCTAGACTTTTGTGAAGCATTGTACCGACTTATGTTCGGATCATCATGCCCTACTAGTGATTGATAAATCCTTCCTGAGAACATCAAAACATTTGTTTCGCTTTGATTCGAGATGTGCATCCAATATGGAGGCTCAATTGATGGTCCAGAATGTCTGGAGCAAAACTTATAAGGGATCTCCAATGTTTATACTTTGGCAGTGCTTGAAGATGGTAAGGCATTTGTTATATGATTGGAGTTGAGTGGGAACTTGTATATCTGCCTAGAATATCTGGACTGGAATCAAAAGGCGTGTTTAGTAAGATTCAGACGTAGGAGTAGGGACGACAACAAATCGAGTTGGGGATGGATACTGTATCTTCATTACCATACTCAAAATAGTTTGAGTTTTTCCCATACTCATACTCACCCATTACTCACAATCACAACATTAGAATTCCAGTTTTACCCATACCCATGTAAAAACTTTCGGATTCGACTTTTTACCTATTTGATTAAGTCAAATGACGGATATCCACGACTATGCCTACGTTTATTTTTGCCATCCTGGAGGAGTCAGTTAGCTAAATTTCAAAGTTTAAGAGTTTGTTTGGTAGTTGAAACAAAATAAAGGGACCTGATGGATATATAACTCTAATACAAGGGCATTGCTATTCGTCGCCCTAAAACTTCTTATTTGTCGCCCTAATTAAATTACATTTACTTTAACACCCTTAGTTACTTAACCCTAAATAAACTTATTTACTACACCAATTAACAAAATACAATAAAAAAACAATCTTTTTTCTTTTTTCTCATCTCCCTCTGTGATCGGTACATATGTCAATTTATGGATTTGCAGCGAGGGAGAGTAAAGGTATGAACTTTCTGGGCATAATCAATCATATTTACCTTAATGGAAATAGGTTCCTCCACCAGGGAAATTGATCTTATCCCGGTTAACAATCTCCCTAACCTTATAATCAGTTGGCGGCGGAATCAGATAATTAAGCCGCCACTGCGGCGGTGGACATCTTATCCCGGTTAACAACCATCCAATTCTAATCGGACTCCAATTTATCTTCCCTAACTTTATAACCAGCCGGCCGTGGAATTAGACAATTAAGCCGCCGCTGCGGCGGCGGACAGTGCCCGCTCGGAATGCTCAATCAACGACAAGTTCAGTTTCAACTTCGAGGGGTACATATGTCAATTTGTTGTGTTTTAGGACGATAAAATTTAAATTTTAGAGCGACAAATAGCAATTCAGTAATACAAACCACCTAAAATATATACGCCACCACGTCGTCTTTTGCTCAGTGTTCTACTCCACTTTCATCTCTCGTTTACACCGCCGTTTTCTCCCCTCCTTCCCCTTGCTTTGCCATCGCCGAATCCGTCTCCCATGGCTCCTTCCTTCGTAATCAACGGCGGCGACTTCACCGCCGCCAGCACCAAGTCCTCCAGTGGCGGCCGCGCATCCTCCGTTTACAGCGAGGTCCAGACCAGCCGAATTGACTACACTCTCCCTCTCCCCTCGGTCCTTACTGGTCCATTCAAGATCGTTGATGGCCCCGCTAGTTCCGCCGCCGGAAACCCTGGTTCGTCTACTTCTCTTCCCTACTCTCTCCTCTCCTTACCTAGAGGTCAATTGCGTTTGACTATGTGAGTCTGAAGTTTCTGGATCTTTCTGCTGCAGATGGGATCGCCAATCTGTTCCCAAATCTGTTTGGCCAGCCTTCTACAATGCTGGTGCCAACCGACGGCGAGCATGCTCTCGATTCCGGTCGCAAACTGAAAATCGGCGTCGTCTTGTCCGGAGGCCAGGCCCCTGGAGGACACAATGTCATCTCGGGAATCTTTGGTATGGGGAACACCATTTAAATTTGCGCGATCTGTGATCAGTTCCTTGATTCCAACTAATCTGACTGTTAGTGTGTCGATCTTTCTTGTGGCCGTAGATTACTTGCAGGCTCATGCCAAGGGGAGTACGGTTTATGGATTTCGCGGGGGTCCTGCTGGTATCATGAAGTGCAAATATGTAGAATTGACTCCTGACTACATTCGCCCTTACAGAAACCAGGTACCATCATTGCTTGATAGATAGAGTAATCGTGGAGTTTACTGACTTGGGAATTTGTGGCACTGTCTTTTTGATTCACGATTGTCTGTTTCTAAGCTACGTGACATCTTCTTTGTTCATCAGGGTGGTTTTGATATGATCTGCAGTGGCAGGGACAAGATCGAGACACCTGAGCAGGTGGGTGATACTCTTTCTTCATTTAATCATGGTTGTATGTCAGTGGAAAGCTATAGCGTGCCTGATTTGGGGAAGTATTAAATTGTGCAGTTTAAGCAAGCTGAAGAAACTGCAGTGAAGCTCGATTTGGATGGGCTTGTTGTTATTGGTGGGGATGATTCCAACACAAATGCTTGCCTGCTTGCTGAAAACTTCAGGTTTGCACCAGATTTTTTTTTTTTTTTTTTTGTTGTTGCTGTCATATTGCTTGCGGCTTCTGCTGCCTGGCACTCAGGGTTTTGTTGTCATGACAATATTTTTTACTTTCCTGCTTCATTTGATCAATCAGGAGCAAGAATTTGAAAGCACGGGTAATTGGCTGCCCGAAGACAATTGATGGTGATCTGAAATGCAAAGAGGTCCCCACCAGTTTTGGATTTGACACCGCCTGCAAGGTGATTAGGAGTCATGTTCTTTTTTGTTGTGTTTCTCATGTTCAAAGTGATTTTCGCGATGAAAGAAATAGCGTGGAGGAGTGTCTGATTTCCCATTACTGGCCAGGGTCTGAATCTGAGTGCATTTCAAATATATTTTGCTACTCGTTTGCTGTATCCTAATTAGTCAGAGTATCTGTCTGTGTGACGAGGACTGCAGATATATGCTGAAATGATTGGCAATGTCATGATTGATGCCAGATCAACTGGGAAATATTATCACTGTAAGTCAGTTGTCTCGATCCTTTTTGTCATTTGTGACCATTTTACGAGTTTGAGTTAAGTTACATTAAAAATAGGAGAAATGCTTCAAAAAGAATTCACTAATTTGTAGTGGTGCAGTCCTCTTAAGAGTTTAGTTACTTCCAGGATGGATACTTCCATTTTGTCTGCCTCATAAGAAAGAGATTTGCCAAAGGCTCTTCGAAATTCTGCCATTTCAAAGACTTATTTGCAAGGCATTGACTTGTAATTGTCATATGCTGACTTCCTTGGGCCTATGTCTTACTGATTACGGAGTCACACGAATGATATACTCACATAAGTGTCATTGAGTAAAAGTTGGGTCCCCCGTTTTGCTCTGTGGAATAGTTACAGTTTTCATCAACAAACATCGTTTATAGGCAGTATTGGACCCACAGTTCGAATCTAATTTCAGCAGAACAATTGATTAAAATGAGCCTTACATCTTAATCTGTTGCTTCTGAGAGTTCATGGGAGTTCATCTGTTGTACCTATGTTGGTCATTTTTATAGTTTGTGTTTGCAGAGTTACGCAATCTTATTATGTTTCTTGCTATGTCTTTCCCTTCAACAATGTCTGCCACCCCCTCTATGAATTCACAGGCAGACATGATATCATCTCTTGTTGTATTTATAAGAAATGATTTTTCTGCTTTTTTCCAGTTGTACGGCTTATGGGTCGTGCTGCCTCCCACATTACCTTGGAATGTGCTTTGCAAACTCACCCCAACATTACAATCATTGGGGAAGAGGTATTTCCTTTTTACCATCCTTTCAGTTTACTAGTTAATTATTATCTCCTGAACACAATTTTGCCGGACTAATTATTTTTTATGAAGCAAATAACTCAGGAAAAGTGCTGATGTTTCAAGTTGTACTAACTTGCAGGTTGCTGCAAAAAAATTGACACTTAAAAATGTTACCGATTACATGGTTGATGTGATCTCCAAACGCGCTGAACTTGGTTATAACTATGGTGTTATCCTTATTCCGGAGGGCTTGATTGATTTCATCCCTGAGGTATCCTAATTGCTGTTCTTCTTATGTTAATTGTCCATCCCTGCTTAATGTAAGGATTTAGGACCCTACTAAATTTGCATGCGGTGGCATTTTGTGATGTGCAGGTCCAGCAGCTCATTGCAGAACTGAATGAAATTCTGGCCCATGAAGTTGTGGACGAAGCTGGGCTCTGGAAGAAGAAGCTTGCAGAGCAGTCTCTTCAGCTTTTTGACTTTTTACCTCAAGCAATTCAGGAGCAATTGATGCTTGAGAGAGATCCACATGGGAATGTTCAGGTGTCTACTACATATTAATCTCATTAGACGATTCACTTTTTAACAATATCTTCTGGATTGTTGTATATGTCATACTTTTTCCGTCGTGCTTGTAGGTTGCTAAAATAGAGACAGAGAAAATGCTAATTCAGATGGTTGAAACTGAGTTGGAAAAAAGGAAGCTAGAAGGTTCATACAAAGGCCAATTCAAAGGACAGTCCCACTTCTTTGGGTAACTTCTTGATTAACTTTTCACTATTTCCATACTATAGACCTATTATTGTAGACTCTGTTGGTAACATTTTGTCTAGGACTGGCCAGCTTTGACAACCAAAACACTAGATTTTACTGGGGTTGTTTTTAGTTGTAAAAAATCAGTTGATAGCTAGCTGGAGGTAGTTGACATTTGTTGCCTGATAATATATTGGATGCTTTCCCAATTTTGGTTCTTCGAGCAACTGCTTAATAACTTATTTCGTTTCAGGTATGAAGGAAGATGTGGTTTGCCAACTAATTTTGATTCTATGTACTGTTATGCATTGGGCTATGCTGCTGCTGTTCTTCTCCACAGTGGGAAGACTGGGTTGATTTCATCAGTAAGTCCATCCAACTCCTTGTTGCTAACATTATTGTCACTGGTCCACTTCATAATCTCTCTTCATTTTGCTTCGTTCTCCCAGTCAAGCTTTTTTCTCTAATTTATCTGTAGTGTCTCTCTTGATCCGAGGGGAGTAACATAAATACTAATACAATTCTTCAAAGAGAGAGTATTAATGCTCCTACCACGATAATTGATGTTGGTTGTATCCCAGGTTGGAAATCTAGGTGCCCCTGTTTCAGAATGGACGGTTGGTGGGACTGCATTGACTTCCTTGATGGATGTGGAGAGAAGACATGGTAACTAGGATTCGGAGAAAATTGTTCGGCTTGTTAATCACGAATTTGTTGCATCTTGGGTTTCCTTGATTGATGGTCTTATCCTATTTAGTTTTATGAGCTGCTGCTTCAGTACTGATACCCTTCCCTTTTCCTGTTATTTTGTCTAATTAGGTAAAAACAAGCCCGTTATCAAGAAGGCAATGGTAGAGCTCGAAGGTAATTGTTGTATCTAGATACCCTTCATAATCTTGATTTTGTGAAGCACGCACAATTGTTGTTACCATTTCAGATGCAGTCTAATCGGCATAAATATTTCAGGCGCACCTTTCAAAAAGTTTGCTTCAATGCGGGACGAATGGGCACTCAAGAACAGATACATCAGTCCTGGTATGTGTAGCCACTGAACCGTAGACTCATTCCCAGTTTGAAACGCTGTCCATGACTGTGCTTGTACTTTGGGTGGATGCAGTGTTTGATCCTAGTTTTCGACATTTTTGCAGGTCCTATTCAGTTTATGGGACCTGGGGCAGATGATGTCAACCATACCCTACTGTTGGAACTTGGACTTGTTGCTGCTTAAAGCTCCGGAATGAAATGATTGCTTCTCTTCGTCTCCATTTATTCCATTTGCTTCGGGGGGGTTTTAGTACGCACTTGTTTATGCTGATCGATCATGTTTGTCCAGCTATCCAACGACGTAACGCTAACCGACTTGTCTGTCCTGGGTGTGATTTGTTAGATTAGATGAATAATGACATTTCATCTGCACTTGCAGCATGGGCTTTTAGTGTACTCAATCTAGATCTATTGTCGGAATAATTTGAAGTATCTGAATTCCAGAGCTGTGATTTTTGCCATTAGCAGTGGTCATATTTCGATATCATCTTTCGTGCACAGTCGAGATGTGACATACAGGAACCGGAATTCGTCGGAATGTGCCATGAGAAATGACTACATCACCAAAATATCTCGATATACTGCGTATTTCGTCAATTTGTTGTGTTGTGGTTCTTGTACAGATTCCAAAAAGTTTGCGCTTTATCAGAAAAATGATCAATATTGTTTGTTTAGATCTCTCAAAACCAAAATCGAAACGCCATAAATAGACAACACTGATGATATCGGAGATGAGCTAATCCAGCAGATTAGAAAGCTGAGAAGCTATTGTTTAAATTACAGGAAAAAATCTCAGAATACACTAATTATTAAAAAAAATTCCCTAAATACAGTACTTATAAACTTATTTCCCAAAATACAGCAGTTTCAACATCACTGTTGAAGAGTAAGACAGTGATTACAATCACCGTTTTTGACCAAAACGGTGATAGCATCACCGCTTTCAACCAAAACAGTGATGCTATCACCGTTTTGAACAAAAACGGTGATGCATTCCCCGCGCTTATCGAAAGCGGTGATTGTGTGACCGTTGATAAGCCAAACGGTGAAGCAACAATCACCGTTGATGGGAAAAACAGTGAACTGACGCGGGTCGCTGACGTGGTCGCGCGCGGGCACTTCACCGCTAAAGAAAAAAGCGGTGATAGCCCCGTCCCGCCACGTCACCGATCCTTGTCGTCCGCGCCCTTCACCGCTGCCGTTCGATGCAGTGAGGCGCAGATTGTGGTTTTTCTCCACGATCCGACGCCTCACCGTTGCCACGTCAGCGATCCAAGCAATCACTGCGTTCCTCCAACGCGGTGAAGTCACTGCTTTCGACGAAAGCGGTGATTGGTTGAGGCAAATTTACAGCGCCCCCTTCCCCCTATAAATACCCCCCCCCCCCCCCCCCCCTCATTCCAAACCACACCACCATTTTATACTTCTTTCTCCCTCCATTACTTCACTCTAGTTTCGTTCTAAGTATGCTCTGTGGTTGCGGCTAAGTCCGACCTTCCGCATCAGAAAGAATTACTAGAGTTTTTGTTTCGTCGACACTCTCGCTAGCTTTTCGGCAAAAAATGGACGAAGAGGCTTTGAGAGTACGTAAATTTATTTTATTCTTTTGTGATTTTTTTACATGGGTGCTAAAATTTAAATTGATTTGATTTCATATTTTTTTATAGATGGGTGCTGAGATATACGACCCTCGATTGTATATCGATCCTGGCCCAAGGGATCGAAGGTATTTAACCGGGCAAGATCAACATCGCTCCCGTGCAATTTGGAACAATAATCCGGTAGACACACTAAAATTATTTCAATAGTTTTAAAGTTTTTATTTTGCTTTCTATTGACTGACAACATTGTGTTTTTTGTGTTGTAGGAATCACTTATTCCCATCAGTCATCGAGGGACATGTCGATTGCCCCGTTGGCATGCTCGACTGGAGCCCTATCTAGAGAGGACGAGATTGCACATGCTGAGGCACTTTATGAGGCTTGATATTGACAACGATCTGTTGACGGCAATGGCAGAGCGATGGCGCCCCGAGCTGCATACCTTTCACTTTCCCGAGGGTGAAATGACGATCACCCTCAAAGATGTTGCCATCCTCACCGGGCTCCCGATCACCGGAGATGCCATCATCGACAACTCGAGCTAACCGGAAGATGGTTGGGGGCCGTTGATTCAAGAGCGTTTGGGGTTCAACATGCCGACCACCACGCCCGTCGAAGGGGTTGGGCATCCACCACTGAATGTGGGGCAAGTATCGATCCCGTGGCTTGTTGACCACATCCAGTTGGAGGTTAATATAGGCCCGGACACTCCTGAAGATCAGGTGGAGTGGTATGCACGTGTCTACCTAATTGGCTTGGTTGGTGGGTTTCTGTTCCCCGACAAGTCAAACCGGTGGATACAAGGCATGTGGTTACATATGCTCCTCGGTGACTGGGACGAGATCGGGAAAAAAAGTTGGGGGTCGGCCGTCTTGGCTGGGATCTACTGAGAGTTGTGTACTTGCTCGAGGTTGGGAGCGAAACAAGCTGGTGGTGCGATGTTCATACTCCAACTCTAGGCATGGGAGCATCTTCCGTTTTTCGCACCTCGAGACCCTCGGGAATTCTGGTTGCCAGATGATGAGCTACGATTTGTAGCAAATCCCCCATATGGTTTCAAGTAAGTTCAATTTAAGTTGAATTTATTTTAGATATGCAATGGTAGTATTTTAGTGAATTTAGATCTATTCCAAGTAAGCGAATTTAGTGACATTTTAAGTCTGCAATTATAGTATTTTAGTGAACTTAGATATCTTTCAAGTATGCGAATTTAGTGACATTTTAAGTCTGCAATTATAGTATTTTAGTGAATTTAGATATCTTCCAAGTAAGCGAATTTAGATTTATTCTAACCAAATCGTATTTAGCTAATTTAGATTATTGCCAAGTAAGGAATTTTAGTTCAATTTAGATGCTTCCATACAATCATACTTAACAAGTAAACATCTATGCTTTAAAAATTGCTTATATACGTACTTTTGCTTAATTAGGTGGATCGGAGCAAATACAAACGACCACCAGCCCGAACACTCTTTACTGTTTTATCGTGCTGAATTTGATAAGCCTTGGTGGAACCAGGTAAAAATATAAAATTTCATCATTTTCAAATTTTTAGGTGGAGTGGAAATAATTTGTACTAATTCCATGAACTATAATGATTGTAGGCGGTATGGGATCCATATCCAAATGAAGTGGTTGAGTTGCATCGTCTTAGACATCCCGAGGATCAAGAGACATGGTTGTGCAAGGTGCCCTTAATCTGCTGGCACATGGTGGAATGGCACCTGCCCGATCGATCTTTGAGGCAATATCGATTGGAGCAACCAATTCCAGCATCCCCACCTCAAGGGTTCAGGGAGCTCCACGCCATTGACCTACGCTACACCAAAAAGGATTGGGTCCGCAAGCATGAATTCTACATCAACATATGGGAGAATAGAAATCAGTGGGTGGTCCAAGGGTTGCCGGAGACGAGGCCAACGGGGTACCACGATGGCTACATGCGGTGGTATCCAAAATTCACTCTCCGGTGGGTGTCAAAGCAAGGTGCTGTTTGGGGCGAAGTGGTAAGTGAATTCCATTTTGGCTTCTTCGTCTAATTTTTTTGTAGTATGATTACATGCCTATATTAGCTAGAATGTTAATTAACATTATTAGATTTGAGGATCATTATTAGATTTAATGTTAGTTAATTTTGTACAACAATTTATTAGGTTGACGGTTTGGAACATGCCAAGCAAACTGTCGAGAGTGCACCCACCATGGATGAGCGGAAGACATCTTTTTTGCGCAGGCTTTTCAACAACCTGCTCTCTTGTACCCGAGAGCAAAGGAGGGATGTCGTATTATACCCTCCAATGCCTGCACCGGCCCGACCTTCATTCCCTGCTGATGAGAGGATCGTGCCCCCACAAAAGCCCCCACGGAGGAGCAGAAGAAGGGTGAGAGAAAATATTGAAGAGCTTCGTCCGTCTCAACAAACTCAACTTCCTGAACCATGGCCACATTGTGAGTGGGCAACTAGTACTGAGGGCACCGGAGGGTCGTTAAGCTATGCCCCGACTCAGGAACATGTCATGTTCACCCAAGGCACCCCTCACTTCCATCATCAGCAACAAACTCCTCAGTATCAGACCCCGCAACAACAACATACATCATCGAATTTCTACCACGCTTCTGGTTCATCTCAGCCATATCCACCCCCACCACCTGTCTACACTCCGGTGGGTGGTCGGGTTAAGAGGAATCCGCGAACAGTTGTCCAACGGGCTCGTGAAGAAGGAGGAGGTAGAGAAGGCGGAAGAAGGGGTCGAGGAGGTCGTGGAGGAAGAGGATGAGGAAGAGAAGGGGAAGTGGAGGGAAATGAAGACAACCAGTGAACTATCTATGTCGTCCTAATTTAGTTTGGTCTTGTGTTGTTTTCCATTAACTATCTATGTCGTCTTAATTTGCTTTGGGATTGTGTTGTTTTCCATGAACTATCTATGTCATCTTAATTTGGTTTGGGATTGTGTTGTTTTTCATGAACTATCTATGTCGTCTTAATTTAGTTTGGGATTGTGTTGTTTTTACCCCCCCCCCCCCCCCCCCCCCCCCCCATGTTGTACCAAAGTAAACAACAGACACCCTTCATTACAATCACTCAACAAGATTAAAACAAGAGGTCCAACTTAAACATCACAACAACGAAAATGACAAGGAAGTGAACAACAGAGTACTCAAGGTTGGTTCGGAATTGGCCCCGAATCTTGCTCTAGAGGTGGACCTGGGCAACGCCTCTTGTCATGACCCGGTTTTCTGCACTTTGAGCAACGCTTTGGACCTCGTCGGGCACGTTGTGATTGATCCATTTCATTGTGAATCCTTTCGGTCCTAGGACGACCTTTGGTGCGCTTTAAGTGCAACGGTGGGATAATCAACTTCCCATTGTTTACAGGCCAATAAGCTTCATCCGGCAGGGGGCTGAAACTTGACGAGTAGGAGTTCCTGATCGCCTGTTCCGTGTAGTAAGGACTAACCAAACTGTAAGCGCTGAGGGTTATCGACTTAGCTACTGCCATTGCATGTGAACAAGGTACTCTTCTGTTTTGATACTTTTGGGATGTACACTCTCCGGTGCGAGTTTCTACGTGTAGAGTAACGGATTGACGATTATGCCCACGTTTTCCTCCACCCCAAATACCTGTTTGCACAGCAAAAATACCTTCATTGCGGTTGAACAGAACAACTCTGTGCTTACTTGATTTCTCTTCGATCTTCTGCATGCCATCAAATATATGATGTGCTATTGAATGACCAGCACGCTCCCTCCCTATAGCGAGCTCCCGTCTCTTCACAAACCACTCGTTTACCTTTCAGTATGTCATCTCCACTAGGACAGATACATGCATTGCCCTAATGCCCTTGTAGACTCCATTTATGCTCTCGCCATGGTTGGTAGTTGCAATGCCGAATCTAGCCCCGTTGTCCATGTGAAATGTCCACATGTGCAGATCTTGACCTTCTGCCCATATTGCTCCCCCTCGGTGTATCTGACGGACCGTCTTCATCTTCTGCTCGTACTTTTTTGGTTGATGTGCAACCGCTACAAGACCGGAGAATAAATAATTAAGCCATAAGAAATTTCATTTCAACAATAAACCATGAACAAGCACTGAATTACATTACTACCTGCACTCCACAATTGATCTCTTATATCTTTCTTCTTGCCAAATTTGTGTTGGAAATTGGAAAGGAAGTGACGAATACACCAGCGCCATGTCCATCCCCATTCGTCGGGAAAACCACCGACGGCGTGTTTAATCCCGGCATGTCGATCCGATATAATTGTAATACCCATTCTTTGTGTGACGTGGGCGTGTAGCTGGTCAAAGAACCATGCCCAACTTAAGTTGTTCTCCCCTTCAACTAATGCAAATGCTAAGAGGAAAATACTTAAATTTCCATCAACCCCAATTGCAATGAGAAGAGTTCTTTTATACTTCCCAGTAAGGAAAGTTCCATCAGCCTGTTAAAAATGAATAATTAGTTAGTAAAAATTTAACTTAGTAAAGTAATGAACTAGTACAATAGTTTGAATCCGTAATATACCTGAATCACTGGCATGCAGAAGGCAAACCCGTCAATGCATGGCTTGAATGTCCAGAACAGACGATGAAACATCAACTCGTTCTGTACTCGAACTTGATCTTCAGTTTGCACGTTGTTGTACCACGGCACGAAAACCGTCCCAGGGTTGGACTCCTCCATTGCGGACATTAGTCGAGGGAGTAAAGCATACGAGTCATCCCAATCACCGTAGACCTCAGCCATGGCCTTCTACTTCCCATGCCACGCCTTCTTATACCTTATGGTGTAGGAATGTCGATCCTTCACCTCGGCCATAATAGCTTTTATCTTGATATCTGGTTGTGCCTCGATTAGGTGCTTAATGGTTCTTGCCACTTTTTTTGCTTTAAGTTGCCGGTGATCCTGTGAAAGTATGGTTGAGGAGCATCTGTGGTTGTTCTTTACTGTCCGCATGACCCAGACGCCCTTTCTCTTCATATATGCAGCACGAAGTTGCCACATACAACCCTCTCCAGCATTCTTACAAATGACATGTAGTTGTTTGGTGTCAGAATATTTTACCTTCCATACGAAGTTACGCCGCATGGCTTCTTCGCTAAAAGCATCTTGCACATCGGCTTTCGAAGTGAACGCCATACCCACTTCCAAATTAGCAGTCGGATTATACACAGGCATGGGCCGAAAGTCAGGGGCATCGTTCTGACCATATAAAAATTGATCAGGAACCTCTGTGTAGTAAGGCGTTGGTGCCTGACAGAACGCCACCTCTCTGTCATCGATATCGTCCGTATCTTCCTCCTCACTGACTGATCTCAAATCTTCCTCAATTTCATCGTCACTGGAGGCGAATGGATTGCTCGGCTCAGAATGGTCATCGTTACCAGCATCGTCTTCTTGGTCATGCGAAGTACGCCCAGATCGAAGGATGTTCTCAATGTCAGCCCACTCTGGACCCCAAGCAGGCCATTGATCACCGTCAGGCTGAACGATATCGACGGCAGTCTCAGCATGTTGCGGGTATTCTTCCCACCCAACACCTCCTTCAGAACTACCTCCTCCGTAGTTGCTTGAAGTACCACCCCAGCCATACCCTCCTGCAGAAATACCTCCTTCGTTACTTGAACTACCATCCCAGCCATACCCTCCTGCAAAACCATCATCACAAGAATACTGGTGAGAATGAGTTTCACCGACCGGCTCGGTCTCGACATACACCTCTGCAAGCCGCACCCCGTTGTCAGATAGGAACTGTATCATCATGTTCACCGAGTCATCATCATTTATGACAACTTTTTCGTACATGATTCCGTCAGCACTCATGTTTGGATAGCGGTAGGCAATTTGACCAACTCTCCTTTGCCCGCCCGTACAAGTCCTTTATGCACAAATGTCATGGAGTTCTTGCCACGAGAATCTCGACTCAATTTTTAGCATAGTGGATTCGCCATTTTCATAGTCGATCCCAATGTTCGAGTTTGTCACCCGACCATTCCACCGAATAATAAGCCGAAACTTCTTAAATTTACCAATGTCTGCAATTTATAATAATTAAGTATAGTATATAATTAGTACATTAGGGATACAAAAACAATATCATCCAAACCCATAAACAAACGCATGTAATTGATCTATCATGAGAAAACTAAACAAATTCATCTAAATTCATAACTAATTAACTAACATCTATCATATCATAATTAATCTAAATATATCATAACATATTTTCCAATAACCGCAATTCACTAAATATAGACATATAATTACTAACACATCAACATGTAAACAATACATAATTATAACATACCGAATCCCGATCTATCATGAGAAAACCAAACAAATTCATCTAAATTCAGTACTAACTAACTAACATCTATCATATCATAATTAATCTAAATATATCATAACATATTTTCCAATAACCGCAATTCACTAAATACAGACATATAATTACTAACATATCAACATGTAAACAATACATAATTATAACATACCGACTCCCGATCTATCATGAGAAAACTAAATAAATTCATCTAAATTCAGTACTAACTAACTAACATCTATCATATCATAATTAATCTAAATATATCATAACATATTTTCCAATAACCGCAATTCACTAAATACAGACATATAATTACTAACACATCAACATGTAAACAATACATAATTATAACATACCGACTCCCGATCTATCATGAGAAAACTAAACAAATTCATCTAAATTCAATACTAACTAACTAACATCTAACATATCATAATTAATCTAAATATATCATAACATATTTTCCAATAACCGCAATTCACTAAATACAGACATATAATACTAACACATCAACATGTAAACATTACATAATTATAACATACCGAATCCCGACGAATTTCTTGAGCAGTAAACCAACTCCAAACCAGCTGAGAAAACGACTAATAAAACACTAATTTTTATACTAATTTGCTGTAAGGCAGTAGGAGGGGAAGTGGTGGTCGGTATTTATAGGAAAAAATGGCAGCTAATCACCTTTGTGGACAATTGCGGTGAACACATCACTGCTTTTGTCCAAAGCGGTGATAGCTAGGTCGCTGTGACCTAATTTTCCACCTACCAGGACTCTAAAACGTGGTCAATTATCACCGTTTTGATCGACGGCAATGATGTGGTCAATTATCACAGTTTTTGTCGACAGCGATTTACGTGGTCTATTATCACCGTTTCGCACAACAGCGGTGAGGCAATCACCGTTTTGGGCGGCAGCGGTGATTCCTTCCCCGTTGTTGTCAAAAGCGGGGTTGTGTTCCCCGTTTTGGACTAAAGCGGTGATCACAATCACTGTCGAAGACAAAGACAGTGATGTTGAAACTGCTGTATTTTTGGAAATAAGTTTATAAGTACTGTATTTAGGGAATTCTTTTTAATAATTAGAGTATTCTGGAATTTTTTCCTAAATTACATTGGACATGTTACATTTCACTCAGGATTTCATATACTTACAAACTAGTCGCCACGATCACCCTGTACAATTTCCTTTTTCAACCGTGCGTACCGTATAACCCTAATAGTTTAGTGACCATTTAGACATTTTTCACTCAACAATTTTGCGCTTGGCGGCACCGCGAAATTGATAGAGAATAGGCCATTAGGGTTTTACCCACTCAGAAGAAGAAACAGAGAGTGAAGCGAAGAGAAGAGGGACAGAAAATCATGAATGGCGGAGGAGACGCCCAGAACGGGCCAGCAAAGCAGCTGACGGCGGAATCACTGCCCGTGTTCAACGAAGGCGTATACTTGATTCTCTCCCGGTGGTCGGCTCTTCAGCTCGCCATCGAAGAAGAATGGGCCGGCCGCCGCTCCCGCCAGTTGGCCGATCAACTCGCTTCCGATATCGTGTCCTGGTTCACCCAACCCAAAGGTAAAATTACCCTAGCTAGTGTCTAGAATCGCTCTAAATCGGGGTGGGAAATTCGATGCTGGTGAGATTTGCGGGTCTTTTAGCAATTTCTGATTCTTTTATCGGTTTTTTTTTTCTCTCGCGTGGAGCCCAGCCGAGCCGCTTTACATTGATGATTTAGAGGACGTTCTCGACGAAGGGATGATTGCTCTCAATTGCGAGATTGAAGATGGTAGCGTAGAGGAGGTAATTGAGATTTGGGTTTCCTCGTATAGTGATTTCCCTTCTCTGTTGGCGCTTAATCTTGCTGAAAAGTTCTGGGTGTTTTTCGTTATTGTAGGTGGCAGAGAAGTTGATGATTTTGCATGAGGAATGTTTGGAAGCTGATTATAGCTCTGTTGAGAAGTTGAGAAGAGCAGGGCCTGCAGCAGGAACTCATCAACATATCAGACAGGTTTCACTCTTTTTAAGAACTTTAATGTGGGGGGTTTTCACTAGTTCTTGGTAGTGGTTTGTCTTGATGTTGCTTTGTTTATGATGTATTAGGCTGCTAATGGTGATGAAGACGACTCGTCGCAGGATGAAAGTGATGAAGGTGATATGATGTCTGGAAGTAGGTCAAATATGGCAGTGGATTCACCAGTTCCTCAGCCTAGGGCGAATACGGAGAACAGTGCTAATGGAGGTCAGATGCAGGACGATGGTTGGACGGTTGTTTCTTCCACTCGAAACAAAGGTAGAAGGAATTAAATCGAACATCATCATGCAGCTCTCATTGTAGAGTCATGAAGTTGAGACGTGGCAGTCATCCATTGCAATTAAACTATTATGTAGTTTGATAGAGAACCATAAGAAGTAGATTGAGAGTTGCTAAGCTATTGTGTAGTTCTCTGTTGCATTTGTCTTTCGGATTTGTGCCTTCTTTTCTCTGGTTATATAGAGAACCAAAGTCCAAAAGCGTGCAAATTTTTGGTGGATAATTTCAAGTTTTACTTATGAGCGGACACAAGCGAGTTCCATCTTTTTGATGTTGCATCTGATGAAACTCATTGGAATATTATGTTACCATTATTTCGACCCTAGTTCCATTAATAGAAGTACCCTGTTTCTTTTGAATGTTTGTTTTGAGACCTCTCTAGTCTTCTGGAGTGGGCATGCTTGAATTTCACAGTAAGTTACTTCATTTGTTGCTTTATATTTTTTCCTGGTAATACCCGATTCAAATCCAGAATAATGGTGCAAACTTATTATGAGCAAATGGAAATAGGTATGGTCCTCTTTGCTGCTCTTTTTCTTCATCTCCATTCTCCAGTTATCGCTCCTCTGCTATGGTTCTCCACAATCTGTTATTGGTAGAGCACACAAGGTATCGCTCTTCGAGTTTACTGTTGATGAGTTTCCGATTGCTCAGATGGGTGTCTGTCCCTTTGGTCTGGATTGTGCAGATTTGAGAAGGCAAGAAGAGCAAAGATCAATCATTCAGCACATATAATAAACAATTGGGTAATTCTCAATCCAGTTGGCATTTCTTTGTCGAAGTCTTTTAATAGATTATCTTCACACAGTTAAATTACTGTATCATATGAGTTAAAAAAAAATAACAAATTAGTATCTGGCAAATGATCATTCGCCTGAAATTTGAGCCTTTGAATCCATTGTCATATACTCTTCACAGTTCGCACCATCCGAATCCTTGTTTTCCTCGTCAAGACAAGTGAAGATCAATCTGCAAATATAATAGCCATTCAGTAATTGTCAGTCCACTGTAAGCATTTTTTGTCCAAGTCTTTTAATTAGGAAATCATTAATATTTGCAAATGATCATTTGCTGAAAGTTTCCGCCAGTTATTCTGAATCCCCAAGTCATACGACTTGAATCATTGGAGCTCTAGATCTTGTTTGGTTCTAGCTTTTTCTGAATTTGCTGAGATGGCTGTGAATCCCTGTTGCTATTCAAATCCTCGGCAAGTATTGGAGCAGATTGTGGTCCTGTGGACTCTCAGTGGCGACCTTTGAGTAGCTCAAGGTCACTGTCTCTACCCATTTAGGATGTCATTGTCATTGTTTAAGGTCAGCTTGGTTGCTGTAGTTGATTGATTTTGCAGCCCAAAGATGAGGAAGTTTTGGGAGGGTTCACACGATGGGGGAACAAAAGTATTATTGTTTATTGTTTGGTAAATGGTCATCATCATCCCGCTTCCAGGTTGCATCAGGCGTCACAATCATGGGGAAATATAATATGCCTTGTGCGTTGAATTCATATTCTGGGAAAAGCTCAAATCCCTCTTACTGATCTCCTGCTCCCCTGTTTCCCCTCGTTCTCTCCTTCCGTGTGTAGCTCTCTTGTTGTCCCTTGCCCTCTCGCTTCAGCTCCCCTCTTTATTTTTTCGCTTTATCCCCTGTTCTCCCTTTCTTCCTTGATTACACATAAGATGGCTGCTGAAGCAGTTCTGATCCCCGTTGCAAAACTGATCCTTGGCAAGGCATCCGACTTGGCCTCGGAGCAGATTGGACTGCTGTGGAATTTCAGACGTGAGCTCAGCAAATTCAAGGACACCGTCTCCACCATTCAGGCTGTTCTCCGTGATGCTGAAGAGAAGCAGTTCCACAATCACCAAGTCAAAGACTGGCTCGAGAAGCTCTCTGGTATCATGTATGATGCCGAAGATCTGCTCGATGATCTCGCTACTGAGGCTCGTAGGAAGGCCATGCTGTCAGCTGCAACAGATGATGATGGTGGTGGTGGTGGCAGGAGAAGGACGTCAACAACTTGTTGTTGGAGTGTGGTACGCTTCCTGTTCTCTTCACTTGCTAAACAATTGGTGTACGACCTTAAGATGGCTCATGCTATCAAGGCCATTAGGGAGAAACTTGATGATATATCAAAAGACAGGGAGATCTTGCATCTGGAATCTCATTCTTCCCAGGAGGGCGAAGCTCTTCCTTCCAGAGAGACTGATTCCTGCCCACCGCTGATTGTTGTTGGGAGGGAAGGTGACAGGAAGAAAATCATTCACCTGCTGCTGAATTCTACTTGTGAAGCCAACATTTTCGTTGTCCCGATCATTGGGATGGGTGGGATGGGAAAAACTACTCTTGCTCAGCTCGTATTTGATGACGATCAAGTTAAAGCTCACTTTGATATCAAAGCTTGGGTGTATGTTTCGCAGAGCTTTGATGTCAGTGTGATTCTCGAAAAGATACTGCAATCTATAGCTTGTCAAGGTGTGGCAGGTCTCTCGTTAGATGTTTTGCAAGCTCGACTCCGGGGAAAAATCACAGGAAAGCGGTTTTTGTTTGTATTGGACGATGTTTGGGAGGAGACCAGCTGGAGTTGGGAGACTTTGGGCAAGTATTTGACGGTTGGTGCTCCTGGAAGCAAAGTGCTGGTTACTACTCGATCCTCTAAAGTGGCAGAGGTTGGCGGCGGAGCTCTGAAGTCAAGGTCAAGTAATAACATTGTTCTACCTTATCACTTGAAAGGCTTGTCAGAAGAAGAGTGTTGGAACTTATTGGTGGAAAAATTCCTCCCAAGAAAAGTCCCGCAAGACCCACACTTGCAAGAAATCGGCAAACAAATATTGAGGAGATGCGGTGGGGTTCCTCTCGCAGTGAGCACCATTGCTGGTGCGTTGGTAGATTCAAGAGATCCAAATGTCGAGTGGCCATATTTTCTACAGAAGGGACTTTCGAGCATTAAACATGGCGAAGATCCTACTATGTCAGCTCTCCAGCTTAGCTTCAGTCATCTCCCTTCCAATACGAAACATTGTTTTACTTATTGTATATTATTCCCAAAAGGTTTCAAATTCAACGTTCAAATGATGATTCGATTTTGGGTAGCACAAGGGTTCGTTGAGTCGGAAGATGAAGGCTCTGGCTGCTTCAAAATGTTGTGGTGTAGATCATTTTTCCAAGAGATGGAGATGTATGAGTCGGGGGAAATGAAAGTATGCAGAATGCACGATTTGATGTATGACTTGGCTTGTTCAATTGCAGGAAACAAGATCACGAGAAGTTCAAGTTCAACGGTTCTGATAAATGTTCCTTCAAAGACTCGACATTTGTATGTAACTGGTGACGGTAATGATGATTTGAGAGAAGAAGATTACGGTGATGGGTTGGGAAATGCAAGCAAGGTGCGAACGCTGGTATGTATGAAATCTCTTTCAAACAAAGAGCTTGAGCATGTCCTTAACAAATTCTTACGCTTGCGGGTATTGATGATTGTTGAAGAGTCTTCAATCCCGTACTGGTTAGAATTAGTCTTGGATGCTTCAGCGTCATTGAATTCTCTTAATAAGTTGAAGCATTTAAGATATCTTGCTCTTCGTAACACTACTAGATGGAAAAAGCTTCCAGACTCGGTTACTAACTTGGTTAATCTGCAAGTGCTCGAGCTTGTCAATGTCTGGTCGTCAGAAGAACAGCTACCGAGGGATACTATGATGCTTGTTAAGTTGAAGCATCTTGAGCTCACTGGTTATGAAGGCGTGAAACTCCCTAACTGGTTGTCGGGCCTCCCGAATTTGGTAGAGTTCTCGTTAAGAGATTGCAACCGATGTCAGTACCTCTTGGCATTGCATCAAATGTCGAGTTTGAAGAAGCTTACAATTGATAATTGTCCATTGCTGAACTGCATCAATAATGATGCTGATCATTGTTATTCTTCACCGGACAACTCATCATCAAGATTAACGACGGAGGAAGAGGATGATGATGAGTGGCCTCGGTTTCAGTGTCTTTCCTACTTGAAGATTCAGAATTGCCCAAGTTTAACCCGGTTACCCATGTTCCCTACCCTTGAAGGTGAGCTGGAGCTAGACAATACGAGCTTGGCACCATTAGCTAGGACCATGAAGATGAATATGAGGAGAGGAGGAGAAGGTGTTGATTGTTCTGATGAATATGCATATGGTGACACAAATATTCATCCTCCTCTTACTTCTTCTTCAGCCTCGGCATACCCTCTTTCCGGGTTGACCAAGATGTTTTTGTCGGACATCAACGAAGATCTTGAATCCCTGTCGCATCCGAATTCGAGTAGTTGTCTCATCTCTGTTGAGGAGTTGAGGGTTCAGAGTTGCAACCAATGTGTGAAGCTACCTGGTTCCTTGTGTTCTAGTATACACCTAATGAAGATCCATTTATATAAGTGCGCTACTCTAGAGTACCTGCCACCTCTGCATGAACTCCCATCTTTGCGGAAGCTATTTATCGGGGGTTGTCCGAAGCTGAAGGGATGTTGGTGGAAGAAGAAAAAGAAGCAGGGGAACCATGATAATCATAAGGGTGGTGGTGATGATGATTATTATTATAACTTCGACCCTTCAATGGAAGGAGACAGAGAGGAAAGGAAAGATGAAGAGATGGAGGAAGAATGGCCTCATTTCCCTTGCCTTTCCACGTTGCGTATTGAAAGTTGCCCAAAACTGATTTGGATGCCTTTGTTTCCGACCGTTGAAGGTGAGATGTGGCTGTACCAAACAAGCACAGAGGCACTGGTGCGGACAATGAAGATGAAACCAGTAGTGGCTGCAGCAGCTGCTGAACATTACCTTGACTCTCAACAACATTCTACCTGTGCAGCAGCAACAACTACCACCTGTTCCTCTTCTTCTTCCTCCTCCTCTTCTTCGTCGGCGAGGGCTGACATTGTCCCACCACTCTCTAAGGTGACGCAATTGCAACTTTGGTGGATCGACGACCTGGAATTTCTACCAGAAGAAGGCCTCCGCAACCTCACCTCTCTCCAAAGCTTGTTCCTTTGCAATTGTTCAAGACTTGCATCTCTGCCTCCAGCAATGCGCAACCTCACTTCTTTACAATCATTAGCCATTCTCAATTGTCCACTGTTGAGAGACAGATGCAGAAAAGGAGAGGGTGAAGATTGGCCCAACATTTCCCACATCCCAGAAATAGTAATGCCTGACAAAGTATAGTATTAATTTCTCCATCTCCTGAAACCTGTGTAGTCTAAAATCTAAATCCAGGTCTGTCAAAGTTTAGGTTTCTTGCATTGCATGTAAATCAATTTCAGAGGTAAAGGATTTTGCTTATTCTTTTGTTTGTTTTTTCCTGCCTGCTTCCTTTTGCCATTTTCGGTAGACCACGTAGTTCCATTAGCTGTAAACGTGTAAGCGGAACTAACGACACCGAGTACAAATCAGCCAAATCAAGGAGGCGAACCATTTGAATTTGAATCAGAGTCATGCTTGATGATATCTTGACTCAAAACGCCATGTTCTGTCTCGCGAGTGAGTGTCAGCCATGACAATTTGATGCAAAGCAGGGGCGGAGCTACGTTGGGAGTCGGGGGGCCTGACCCCGTCGAGAATTTTGAAAATTGTGTAAAAATATGATGAGAATTTTGGAATTACGTATTAATTCAAATTCGTTTTTATATAATAGTATTGCGCAATTTGAATATCAAAGATTTTGCTTCTAGTCTAGCGGAAAAGTTGTATTTGATTATAGTGGAGGTTGTGAGTTTGATACCCAACAGCACTAGTTTTTTACCTGTTTATTATTATTTGTATAAGTTGATTTTTTATAAAAATAAATAAAAATGTAGTCACTTTTCTTTCATGCTTTGTTTTTTACCTACTTTAACTTCAAACTAGGTAAATTTAATTCAACTTTTTTTTTTATATAGTGGTGATGATATATTATTAAAAAGGGTTATAGGTATAATATGCCTCTCTACTATATCTTTTTATCAAACATGCCACTCTATTATTTTTTACATCAAACATGTCCCCCAACAGCTCCATGGCGCAGATCTTACGAATCAGCTGGCGAGCCGGCGGGGATGTTGTCGCCGTCCGGAAGCTCCTAGAGGATCCCTTGTCAAGGCTAGGGATTACGAGAACCCGACTCCGCGCGTCTAGTATAGGTCTTCTAAATTTTATACGAGATAATACTTAATGAAATATAGTTTTGGAGGCTATCTGGTGGCTAAGATGACTCTTTCTTTGTTTCCCGATCGTTGTTCCGGGTTTGATTTATGTACTTGGCTCTTTCGGGAGGCGGGTATGATGTAACTATTCTTCTTCTTGTTTAATACAAGCTATCGTTTTTGTTAAAAAAAAATATAATTTTGGATATTTTTAAAAATTCTGGATACCAAAAATTAATTAAAAGTTTGAGTTGAATGAAAAACTAGACGGATGTACCTTCTGGTGACTTTAATGGTACCCGACACCCTATTCCAACTTGTAAATACGTGAAAACATAAATGCAAGTGACAAAAATTGTTGATAATAACATACTTATAACATCATATCAACAACATAGTAACAGATATTGGCCTCAACTGTACCAATATACCATGATCAAATTCCACGACCAAAACCAGCACTCTCACCGGTAGATGAATTCACATCGCACCTAGCTAATTAACTCAACGGTTGCATCACTTGGACCAACCCATTTTTTAAGGTCCGATCCCCGTTTGTCGTCGGATCAGTTGGAAAGCCACCGTTTAAATAACTTAAAAGGTAAAAATAGAATGATGGGCTGCAAACAATAGTCATATGCGGTTGCCGGTTGCGATGAAAAGGGCTTTACTGAAGATTGTTTCTCCCCCTGTAATCACGGAGAGTAGTTAAGATTTAGACAAATTAAGAAAGTATGTCACCATGTCACCTTATATATAGATATATGTATGCTTCAGACGGAAAATCATACAAAATATAAAAGATTTGACGAGAAATAAATCGTGATGGAAAGCTTGTTATCACCGGCGATTGCACTGCCATCTACCCACTATTTTTCACTCAAATGCGGAACCATCAAAATTCTCGACCTTCATCCCCTCCACAGAAAAAAAATCCTCAAAACTTCGATTGACATGGATAAGAGGAGGAGAGACAACATTGCGCTGGAAATCAATCAGGCTACGGTGACCCTGATATAAGCGACCCTTCTTCTTCCGACGAGAAGCCGGCTCAAGAGGCCATTGCCAGGCTTATGTCAAGGAAACATTACACATAGGCGGTGCTGAGAATGCTTCCAAGCCCCAACCTCCAATCTGGTAATAGGAAGGCGAATATAAATTCGAATTATGCTGGTTTGAAGGATGATATCTGTCATTACTGCAAGGAGAAAGGACATTGGAAATTTGATTGTCCTAAACCGAAGAAATATCAGGAGAAAAAGGAATCATCTGCTGCTGTGGAGGAAGAAACTAACTCGGATTCTGAAGATGGTTTAGCCTTAGCAGTGAATGAACAGGTACATCATCAGCAGTGGTGTGGTATTTAGATACTGCAACTGATTATCATATGTGTCCAAGCAGGGAGTGGTTTTCAACTTATGAGCAGATAGATGGAGGACATGTTTCTATGGCCAATGGTGCTATCTGTAAGCTTGTTGGAAGAGGCTCCGTCAGGATGAGGACACATGATGGTTCTGTTCGCACCTTGAACAATGTTAGGCATATTCCAGAGATGACTAAGAATCTGATATCTTTGAGTCTACTCGACGACAAGGGTTTCAGCTTCAAAGGTGAAGGTGGAGTGTTGTCTGTCTACAAGGGTTCTAAGGTGATTTTGAAAGGTGTCAAGCGGGGTGCCTTGTATAGTCTACAAGGTTCTGTTTTGACATGTTCTGTTGGTGATAAGTGGAGCAAGTTGGTTCTGAATGGCAAGTCTCAATATGGATTGGACTTGCTGAATGGTTTGAGTTGTTGACCGCCCTTAGGGGCATTTGGAGGCAGGGGAGATTCTGGTACAACTGATTTGGAGGAGTTGGGTACATCTGGAAACTGTGGATGCGTCTGGTACATCTGGTATTTGACAGAGAATTCAAGTCAAGGTGGAGATTGTTAGAATATTACTTGAATTTGATTTGGATTTGTTTTGTGTTTTGCGCCTATTTTGTTTGGGTTTGTGTTTGGGCTTTGTTTGACCTTTTCCTTGTATGTTTGGGAAAAGGTGTTTGGTTTTCTGTTTGGAATTAGAAGAAGAGTTCTATAAATACTCTTCATCACCCTAGTCTGTAGTAAGATCAGTCAGGTTAGTTTGTTTGGTTTGTCCGTTTGGAATTTGGTTTGTAACCTGTACTCTCCTCAAAATCAGTGAAATTTGTTCTGCCTTGCTTGTGGATTAGCTAGCACACATTGTGTTAGTGAACCACGTTAAATTTGTGTTCGTTCGTATTGGTTTGGATTATCGATTGCACGCTTCTGTTCTGACACTATTTGTTCACAATCTGATCTCACGTGTCCAACATGCACATCACAGGACTTAATTATTAAGCTTGGTGTAAATAAAAGGGAAGACAATAAATATATAATTAGTCGAAAGTGTGGGTGTGATGCTCTTTTTCTCTTCAACTTCAACTACTAACACACTAGCCTAGCTTTCAGAACCTCCGATTTCTAGACATCTGTTCTAAGCATACAACTTCTTCATCACCAAGTGTTTAGATAATTTTACTTTTGATTCTTTGTACTCTTAGCCAAAATAATGAGCTCTAATTCATCCTACTTTGTGAGGATAATTCCCTGTAAGAAGCTCAGCCGGTAGAAAAGCTAAACTAATCAGCAATGTGATTTTGTTGCATTGCTATTTTGTCTTTGTACTCTTAGCCAAAATAATGAGCTCTAATTCATCCTACTTTGTGAGGATAATTCCCTGTAAGAAGCTCAGCCGGTAGAAAAGCTAAACTAATCAGCAATGTGATTTTGTTGCATTGCTATTTTGCTTTGACTAGCAATTGTCCTCATCTACTAATCTTATAAACTGATCATTTCTTATCATTGTATGGTCCATTATTTGCTAACTAGATTTCATTGAAAGAGAGGAATAAAGTTGCACAATGGATACTGAGAGAAGGGAAGTAACTCGACTGAAAAAAGAGATCTAACTTTGATAGGATTAAAAGCACTATCAATCAACTAATAGAAATAAGTTGTTCTACAAGAAACTACCAATTTATCGTTTAAAGATACTATGCTTATCCGAAATGGATGACTATCCTGTGAACAATTTTAATTCCCTAATGGGTATGTAATGGTCTAACGGAAGCCCTATATCAAGCAAGAGAGACATAGCTCCAACAAAAAATCGATTGAGTATACTACAACTTTTTCGATCTCATTGGTTAACAAATTTCTCTCACAGTCTCTCTCGGTAGATTAAGAGGAATTAAATATTCACATTATTTTATATTATATACTTTACATATTATTTTAATAACTCTAATTCTAATAGTTACTAGGTGCATGCACTCAATGTTGTCATCGGATCAGCTCGGTACCCAGATTTGCTTACAAAGTCTGCAATTCTTGGTTTTGATTTCTCGAAGAAGAAGAAAAAGATTGATTTCCGAAAGAAGGAAGGAAGTTCGTCAGAAAGAAGAAACCGGATTTCCCGAGGAAATCTGGCGTTGTTAGCTAGTCTCCCTTCGGTGTGCCATTCATCGGGCTTAGGGAGGTGAGAGAGAGGGAATATCGGGCGTCTTCCGTTCAGTGGTTTCGGAGATGGGAGGTGGTGAATTGGGACTGAATGAGATGAGAGGGAGCGTTTTCTTTTTTTAAGTGGCGATCAATCAGGTCTATTGCCACTAGGGATGGCAATCAAACCCATGGCCGCGGGTATCCGACCGCCCCCGACCCAGTCAACGCGGGGAATCCCCGCTTTGACCGAGTATGGGGCGGGTATGGGTAAAACCCGCAAAAAGTTTGATGGGTATGGGGCGGGTATGGTTTTAGCCTTCCCCGCCCCATACCCATCCCCATACCCGCCCCACCAAGATAATTTCTTCATATATAAAAAAAAAATGTGCATCAAATTATAATCTATCAATGATGATGAGGATAACTTGAGAAAATAAATAGTAGAAATGCAATTGATTGACCACCTTAATCAAAATCTAATTCATTTCTCTCAATTCTCATTTCACTCTTTCACTTTCCCCCTTGTCAACAAGATTATGTTAGTTAATTATTATTTAGTAGATGTATCAGAGTTAGAACATAATAATTTGAAAAATATTATACTCTATATTATGTATTAATGGATATTTTAGGATCATAATCTTTAAACCATATTAAAAAAAATGACTGTGTTTTATTGACTTCATTATATAATATGTTCGTTTAGAATTATAATTAGAACTTTTCTTGTAAGTTTTAGGTATAATAATGTTGGATGTACGAGTATGAGTATTATCCATGGGTACCCGAAACCCACGGGTATGGGGATGGGTTTGCAAAACATTCCCCCGCATGGGTATAGGGTGGGTATGGGTTTGGGTATTTGAAGATGGGTATGGGGATGGTTTAAGCAAACCCGCCCCCATTGCCATCCCTAGTTGCCACCGTCTCCTGCCGGCGTCCTTTTAGTGGTTTTAAAGATGGGAGGTGATAAATTGGGGACTGAATGGGATGGGAAAGAGCAATCGAGAGGGGAGAGAAAGAGGGAAGAAGGTTTGTGAGCTTAGATCCATCAATTTTATTTTATTTTTCGTAAGGAGGAGTGACCGATCAGGACATCAACAAGATAGTTAATCTGCCCAAGATAAATACACATGAGTTCATGTGAATTGGACCGGAAAGAATCACAAAGTCCCTCTCGTGAACAATAAACACGTTTTTTTCGTAAGGAACAGTGCATTTCGATTTTGGTAATTTTGGCCACTTGTGATTTAATAATTCTAATAAATATTATGATTGATTTGTGAATCAATTTTAGTTGAATGTTTAAACGTGGAAATGAAGTTGTAAGTCATTTCACTATGTGTGCTAATTATTAAGCTTTGGATATGAGATTGAATGTTTTCAACATAAATCATTGATGTATTACATGGATGATAGTTATTTCTTATTTATCAATTAGTTAAACATATTACGTATATATTTTATTTTATAATGATTAAGGCATTGGGTAAGGCTCTATAGGTATCTTACTCAAACTAATTTGTGAATTCCTTGCTATTAACAAAATTATTAAATGATTTGATGAAGGTTTAAATCTAATTAGTTTCTTATCGCTGCGAAGCGCGGGTCAAAAAATTAGTAAGAGACTTAATTCGCCAGTCGAGGATTAGACTCCCCAACCAGCGCAAGTGCGGAACACCCTTCAGAAATTCCCCGATCGGGAAACTCATAGTTGTGCCCGTGTAATTTTACCCTCATTCACCATTTTGATAATTTCTCCCTTAATTCTTAACCAAATTGTTCCATTCTTTTTTTCCTAATTAAACTAGATTCATAAGGCTACAACATATCCTAAATTCAAGTCCCTTGGACCCGTGGTTTAGAGTTTACACTCATTTAAAGTTGAAGATCCAAAATTAGATTTTGAACACACATGCCCTGTTTTACTTATGTATCTATACTCCAACTAACGATGAATCATGTTTAGCCTCTAATTAATGACAATTTGAACCCGCCCCGTACCCGTACAGGTATTACCCGCCCCAACCCGTAGTAGCGTGGGAAGAAGCATGGATATTGAGGTGCCCGCCCCCATTGCCATCACTACCTCTAATTCCATCATACACGTCATTAAATCTACTAAAGTCATCAATTCATACCATTACTTCTACCCCAAGTTGCATATGCATAAGCCTTACCTACCTTTGCTTAGGTTCATCATTCTTATCCCATGATCATTCATAAACCTCAAGGTTTCCAACCTTCCCTTCCCACTAGTTCAAGGAATGAGAGGAATGAGGAAAAGGAGGGAAAACCATACCTTGCCTTGTTCCTCTAGTTACCCTTCCTTCCTAGCCTCTAACTATATTTCTCCCCTCTTCCTCCAATCTATCATTCCCCATGGGCCACTCATATCATAAAAGATAAGGAAATATAATATAAAAAAAATTAAAGCTTTACCAAAACTAGGTAGATTATGTACCGCGCTTCACTACAGGTTCTCATAGGATTATATGTATCGTTTGTTAACCCGTCTTTGATTTGTACCGCATTTAGCAGCGGTCTAATGGAAAAACTACTAACAAAATCTAAATCGATAGGTGTATGAAATAATTTAACCACGGTTGAACTATGATTTTAGCATAAAATACCCTATGCTAACTTTTCAGGTACGACATTCGATATGGTTTTACAATTTTCAAACTTTCCTGAACATACATCGAGGCTTGGGTTGGAGCAATATGTCAAGTCTGGTTTAACCATAATTGAATTACGATTTTAGAAAAGTATACTCTAATGCTAACTTTTTCGGTACGACCTTTGGAATGGTTTTAATATTTGGGTTTTTTCTGAATATAGATCAAGGCTCGGGTTGGAGCAACGTGTCAAACATGATTTAACCACGATTGAACTCAATTTAAGTACAAAATACTCTAATGCTAACTTTTCTGGTATGACATTAGGTTTGGTTTTACAATTTTTGTATTTTGTGGACATAAATGGATGATCGGGTTGGAGCAACGTGTCAAGCCTGATATAACCACTTTTGAACTACGATTTTAACACAAAATACACTAATGCTAATTTTTCTGGTATTCGGTATGGTTTTACCATTTTTGGTTATTTCAGAACACAAATGGAGGCTCGGGTTGGAGCAACGTGTTGAGCCTGATTTAACCATGGTTGAACTATTTTTGTCCAGACTAAACCGGACTAAAGCGATCGAACCATTAATCCTCAACCTGCTTACTGCACTGGTTCAACAAGCTAAAAAGAGTTGAAAGATTGATTATTGGTTCAAATCGAGAGGAATAATTGGAGGAAGTGTCAAAGTAATGTTGTCAGAACCGAACCGGAGCATGTCCCGGTAATGCAAACGGCTCGCACTTTAGTGGTCCAACCAGCATTAGAATATTTAAAAACCGTTAGAGAACCGATACCTAATAACGTTATTAGTATAAATAGTGGAAATTTCTTAATCAGAGCTCATCTCTTTCCTTCGAAATTGTGAAATGGAAATAATGATTCAGTTTGAGAGCCCGACATTTTTGGTTTATTTCAATTTTCAATTTTCTGCAATTTTTTTAAATTTAATTTAGTGGCTGAATGGCAAAAACTGGACGATCGGCTCGAACGGTTAACTGCCTCGGCTACTCACCAACCGCTACATAAAACAGGAACGGCTTTTAGACTGTTCCGAACCAGCTTTGCGACCGGGTGGCGATTTTACCGGTCGGGCCGAGCGACTCGGCTCGACTTTAATAACACTGTCAAGCCTAATTTCATGATTTACCATCGAGCGGCATGGGGATAATTCATCACTCATAATCTTCATGGCAGTTAGCTAAGGAAAGTCACCATGGCATACGTTTGCAAAACTCTTATGGTACAGTAACTCCCTTTATCACTTTAATTCTATTAGGATAGTAAATGTTTGTGTCTCACAAATCATTGACTCAATAATATTTTGGGTTAAAGACACATTTGGTCACTGAGATTACAAAATCGGGACATGTTTAGTCACTAGAAAAAATTAATAATCAAATTTGGTCACTATAATTACTAAAACTGGACACATTTAGTCATTCGTCGTTAGTCTCCGTCCAACTCCGTTAATGAAGTCCGTTAAGTGATGATGTGGCAAACAGAATTGCCTAATCAGCCGGATATAACCCAACAAAAATAAAACCCGACCCGCCACGTCATTTAAACCAACCCAACCCAACCCATGACCCAACTCCACCCAACCCTTCTTCCTCGCCTCCTCCCCGGCATCCGCTGCCGCCGCCAAAGCCTTCCTCCTCCCGCCAGTCTCAATCGCCTCCGCCTCCTCACTTTCCTCCCTCAAAACCCTCCCGCTCCGACTGACCTCCAGATCCAGACGATTCTCCCCCACCAGATCCACCGCCGCCGCGGTACCCTCAATCTCCGCCTCGATCTCCGTCGGCGACAAGCTCCCCGACGCCACGCTCTCCTACCTCGACGCCGACGACGAGGTCCAGACCGTCACGATCTCGTCCCTCACCGCGGGGAAGAAGGCCATCCTCTTCGCCGTCCCCGGAGCTTTCACCCCGACCTGCTCGCAGAAGCACGTCCCGGGGTTCGTGGAGAAGGCGGCGGAGCTGAAATCGAAGGGAGTCGACACAATCGCCTGCGTCTCGGTGAACGACGTGTTCGTGATGAAGGCGTGGAAGGAGAATTTGGGGATTAAGGACGACACCGACTTGCTGCTGCTCTCCGACGGGAATGGAGATTTCACCAGGGCGTTGGGGGTGGAGCTGGATCTGAGCGATAAGCCGGTTGGGCTCGGGGTTAGGTCGAGGAGGTATGCGCTGCTGGCGGAGGACGGCGTCGTGAAGGTGATGAATCTAGAGGAAGGCGGCGCGTTCACTTTCAGCAGCGCCGAGGATATGGGTTGGGTTGGGTTTAATGATGTGGCGGGTTTAAATGACGCGGCGGGTCGGGTTTTATTTTTGTTGGGTTATATTCGGCTGATTAGGCAATTCTGTTTGCCACATCATCACTTAACGGACTTCATTAACGGAGTTGGACGGAGACTAACGGCGAGTGACTAAATGTGTCCAGTTTTAGTAATTATAGTGACCAAATTTGATATTAATTTTTTCTAGTGACTAAACATGTCCCGATTTTGTAATCTCAGTGACCAAATGTGTCTTTAACCCATAATATTTTAGTACAAGACTTACCATCACACTTTAATCTTTATATATGCCATATATACGCTTCACAACAGATGGTCTTCTCTTACAGAAGTTTCAACGCTTTTAAAATCTAAGTTGGGCAATGTGGTATTAGCATCAATTTCATAGTCCTGCGTTACCCGATATGTGGCATCTGGGTATGTTTAAGAATCGATTCTCAATATGATTTAAGGAACATCTATTCATTTTAATTTTCACTATGATGGCGAAATGTTCTCCACGGATAAAATGGTTGATATATATTAGAAATAAGTTCGTATTTAACTTGATCCTTTTGTCTCATTGTTCAATCAAGAATAAGTGGGAGAGTTTGTGAGTGCGTATTGTTGACGTTCATGCATAACCCTCCATATTCAAGTATATCTAACGCAACCCAATCAGCATGCTTTCCACTGAAAGCAAGTACAAAACGAAATCGAGAATATGAATCCAATCCTGGTGGAGGTTGCCTCAGAGTCAGAGAGCCTTAATTAGAATCATTCATTCATTCATTCATTCATTCGGTGAGGTAGAATGTGCATAGATCTGAAAGACTTGACAATGTCTAGTGCCTCCTCAATCATCGTTTCCCTTCGGTACATGCAGCTGTGGTGGGGGAAAAAAAACTCAACTTTGTCAGCAAGGATTGAATTACATAGTAAATAGCAGAGAGCTAAAAAGAAAACCTCTGTACCTAAATTTTGGAGTTCCTTGTAGTTGAGTAGTATGTATGGGATGTGAGAAATGTTTGGCCAGTCTTCTTCCTTGCATCTTTCTGTTAACTTTTCACAATCATTAATACGTAATGATGGTAAAGAGGTGAGGTATCGCATCGCTGGAGGTAGAGATGCTAATCTAGGACACTCCCATATCACAAACTCTTGGAGAGAAGTGAGGTTGCAGATGCCTTCTTCTGGTAGGGATTCCAAGTCATCGATGCCGGAAATGATCATTTCCTTCAACTTGGATAGCGGAGCGACAAGGGCAGTCCTCGACGAAGAAGAAGAGGGAGATGTGGTGGTGGTAGCTGTAGTAGCAGAATGCTGTTGAGAATCCACATGATGAGGAACAGCTGCAACCACTACTGCTTTCATCTTCATTGTCCGCACTAGTGCCTGACCGCTGGTTTGTTCCAGTAACAACCCACCTTCAAGAGTTGGAAACAGAGGTATCCGGGTTAGCTTTGGGCAGTAGCGGATAGTCAAGTAGGAGAGATGAGGGAAATGAGGCCACTCCTCCGCCGCCGCCTCCTCGCCTTCCTTTACCACTTCCTCCTCTTCCATTGAAGAATCAAAGTTATAGTAATCATGGTAACTGCTCTCGTTGTTATTCCCCTGCTGCTTCTTCCACCAGCATTCCTTCAGATTCGGACAATCAGCAATAGTTAGCATCTTCAAAGATGGCAGCTCATGTAGAGGTGGGAGGTACTCTATCATTTTGCAACCGCATATAAAAATATCTATTAGGTGTATGCTGGAACACAATGAACCAGGTAGCTTCACGCCTCGGCCACACTGCTCAATGGTCAGGTTCTGAATAGAGAGGAGACAGTTTTTGAAATCATGATGGGATAGGGATTCGAGATCATCATCCATATCAGATAAGGCGAGCTTGATCAGCTTCGATAGGGGGTGAATCAATGCTGAAGAAGAAGAAGAAGAAGAAGAAGCAGAAGGAGGAGGAAGAAGAGGATGGATATTTGTATCATTATATGAATATCCTTCCAAATAATCGACACCTCCTCTTCTCATCTTCATCTTCATCTTCATGGTCCTAGCAAATGGTGCCAAGCTCACATTGTCCAACTGCAACTCACCTTCAAGGGTAGGGAAAGTGGGGAGCCGAGTTAGCATTGGGCAACCCTTAATGCATAAGCTAGAAAGACAATGAAACTGAGGCCAATTGTCATCCTCTTCCTTTGTTGCCGAGTTTTCCATAGAATTATTATCACCATGATAACCATCATGACTGATGCCCTTCAATAGTGGACAGTTTTGAATTGTAAGCTTCTTCAAACTAGACATTTGATGCAGTCGCGGCATGTACTCGCATCGCTTGCAGTCTATCAATGAGAACTCAACCAAATTTGCAAGGCCAGACAACCAGTTGGGAAGCTTCGCGCTTTGGTAAACACCACTACCACCATCATGACTGATGTCCTTTAGTATTGGACATTGTTTAATTGTAAGCTTCTTCAAACTAGACATTTGATGCAGTTGCGGCAGGTACTCGCATCGCTTACAATCTATCAATGAGAACTCAACCAAATTTGCGAGGCCAGACGTCGCGCCTTGGTAACCATCACCATCACGACTGATGCCCTTCAATAGTGGACAACTTTGAATTGTAAGCTTAATCAAACTAAACATTTGATGCAGTTGCGGCAAGTAATCGATTCGCTTGCAGTCTATCAATGAGAACTCAACCAAACTTGTGAGGCCAGACAACCAGTTGGGAAGCTTCGCACCTTGGTAAACACCACCACCACGTATCATCAAGCTTTTCAAGTTAGGGTGTGGCCATAGCATTTCCAACATCCCCTCATCCCGAGTAGACAAGAGGGTAACACCATCAACATCTCTGTCACAATCTCGGCCCCAATCTAAAACAAGTGACTGAAGATACAACTTCTCTTTCAACACATAAACACCTTCTCTCGGAGTGTCCGCATAGGCCAAGCCTTCGATGGTCAACTTTCCACTCAATGCATTCAATCCTTTCAACTCATCCAACCCGGCACCTACCCTCTTCCCAACTACAAAAGTGGATAGCGTTTGCAGAAACTTCAACTCCCCAATCCCTTTTGGAACATGGTTCAACACCACATACTCTGAATCGAGCTCAAGATGCTTCAAATTAACAAGTGTCTTAATGTCCCTTGGCAGTTCTTTTAGTCTCCAGAAATCGACTAGTTTAAGCACTTGCATGTTAACTAATGTAGCAACCGAGTTTGGGATCTTTTCCCCACCAGCACCACCAAGACCAAGATATCTCAGATGCTTCAACTTATGAACAGAATTCAATATCAATGAAGCATCCAAGGACGAAGCATTACATTCTGAGTTCGAACCTTCAATGATCACCAGTACTCGCAAACGTAAAAAGTTTCTAAAGATTTGCTTGAGTTCTTTGTTTGAAAGATTTTTCAAACATATAAGAGTCCGTACCTTGCATGGATTCCCCGGTTCATGACCGCCATAATAATCTTCTCTTGAGTCATCATTACTGTCACCGGTAATTGCCAGGTGGCAAGTTGTCGAGGAGATATTTCCGAGACATGTCGAAGCTGAACTTCTCATGATCTTTTCTCCGCCCATTGAATCAACTAAGTCGTGCATCAGATCATGCATTCTGCATTTCAACATGTTTCCCAAATCATCCATAACCACCTCCTGGAAGAACGATCTCCCCCATAACGTCTTGAAACAGTCAAAGCCTTCATCCTCCGTCTCAATGTACTTGTGTATCACCCAAAACTGAACCAACATCTTAATGTCGAATTCAAAACCCTTCGGAAACAGCTTACAGAAAGTAAAGCAATTTTTCATATAGGAAGGGAGATGGTTGAAGCTGAGTTGCAGCACTGACATAATAGGATCTTCCTGTCCTTTCATGATGCTTGAAAGTCCCTTTTGTAGAAAAGTTGACCACTCGGTCTTTGGATCTCTTGAATCTGCTAACACACTGGCTATGGCGCTCACAGCGAGAGGAACTCCATCACATTTTCCCAATATTTGCTTACCAATTTCTTGTACTTGTGGGTCTCGCAAGACTTCTCTGGGGAGAGCCTTTTTCACCAATAGATTCCAAGACTCTTCCTCTGACAATCCTTTCAAGTGATAAGGCTCTACTATGCTTGTACATGTTTCCGACCTTAGAGCTCCACCGCTGACCTCCGCCACTTTAGTGGATCGAGTAGTCACCAGCACTTTGCTTCCAGGCTCACCCTTTGTCAAATACTTCCCCAAAGTCTCCCAACTTGGATTGCTCTCCTCCCAAACATCATCTAATACAAACAGAAACCTCCTGCCTTTGATTTTTTCACGAAATTTAGCTTGCAAGTCGTCCAACTCAGAATCCGCCTCAATTCGACAATCTATCGATCGCAGCATCTTTCTGAGAATCACTTTGACATCGAATCTCTGAGAAACATATACCCAAACTTTGATATCAAAGTGATCATTGACTTGATCGTCATCAAATACAAGTTGAGCAAGAGTGGTCTTCCCTAATCCACCCATCCCAACAATGGTCACGACCGAAATGGTGGCTTCATGATTGGAACTCAGCAGTAGCTTGATGATATTCTGCTTGTCATCTTCCCTCCCAACCACAATTGTTGGTGGGCAGGAATCAGTCTCCCTGGAAAGAAAAGCTTCAGCCTTGGTAGTAGAATGGACTTCCAGATGCAAGGTCTCCTTGTCTTTGGATATAGCATCAAGCTTCTCCCTAATAGCCTTGATGGCACGAGCCATCTCCAGTTCATACAATAATTCTTTGGGAAGTGAGGAGAACAGGAAGCATACCAAACTCCAACAAGTAGTAGTAGTAGTAGTAGTTGTCTTCGTCGTTCCTCTGCCACCATCATCCTCATCTGTTGCTGCTGCTAGCACGGCCTTCCTGCGAGCCTCGGTAGCGAGATCATCAAGTATGTCGTCGGCATCGTACATGACGTCGGAGAGCTTCTCGAGCCAATCTTTAACTTGACGATTGTGGAACTGCTTCTCTTGTGCGTCATGGAGCACGGCCTGGATTGTGGAGACGGTGTCCTTCAGTTTTCGGAGCTCTGGTTTGAAACTGCGGAGGAGCCCAATCTGCTCCAAGGCCAAGTCAGATGCCTTGGAAAGGACTTGTTTGGCAACTGGGATCAGAATGGTTTCTGCAGCCATCTCAGGGAAATCAAGTGAAAATGAAAACGAGAACTGGGTAGCTTTTGAGCAAGAGCAAATGTAGAGTGAGAAATCAGATCTGCGTTTGAGGGATCGATCTGGTGAAATCCTTCCCCGTTGTCAAAAGCTCGGCGAAAGGGATTGTTTGACTTGTTTGTGGTCGACTTGGCGGAGACCGGAGAGAGGAGTTTTTCGTTTTTCAGTTTTGTTTTTCTTTTTAATTTAATTTATCAGCTAGTTTAATAAAAAAGTGTCATGTTATTGTTGATTGAGTTGAGCGCGAAACTCAGTTGATAATCTCCTCTGGTTCTCTGGTTCTGGAATCTGAAATAAACCCTAATTTCGACTTCGACAAAACCAAGTGAAGAGGATGAAATGAGCAGAAAGAAATCAATCGAAAGGAAAGGTAAAGAGACTTCTCTTTTGATGTTTGTCAAAACGACACGGACTTGGACTATTGACCTCGACGTGGGTTGGGCTGAGATTGATATCAGATTTCCTTGGGTAACCTGGCCCAATTCACTTGAGTTCAACACTGCGTTTTGAAAACACAGCTTCCCTCTTCTTTGCTCGAACCAATCGATCACCCCTGCTCTGCACAGAACTTACACTTGCACCAAATCAAGAACTTTGACAGGAGCTGGAAATAAAATGAAAAGCAGTAAGACACAAATAAAACTCAGACACGATATTTTTACGTGGTATCCGATACTGATGAATTCAGTATCGACTAATCCACGGTCAAAGGTACTCTGCTTGAGTCCTTTGACGTTATACTATGTTCTTGTGATTTCGGATTACAGTGTACAGCTTTGATCTCTCAATGACTCCCTGTCACTCTGATCAGACTCACTCTGAACCTACAGCTCCTTGCTGTAATTCGAACCTGTTTCCTCGGGAAAACCAAATGCCACCGCCGGTGCCGAATTCGTTTCCGGCGATGTTGATTTGATGTTTCGCGGTGGAAACTCTTGCGGTGCCGTTTGATCGAATGCACCACTGATTGCTGAGACGACCGTCAAATATCCGTCGCCGAATGTCGGCGCCGTTGATTTGATCGATGCACCTCTAAATGGTGAAATCAACGTGACCGTCAAATATCCACCGCCGGGCGGTGTTGATTTGATCGATGCACCCCTGACTTCTAACCAAGAACGACAGTTACTACGGTTCGAACGAGGGTGTTGGAGTTTTTGAGAAATCTACGCTACCTCTACTCCTATGGAGATTCCTGTGGAGAGCTCCGCGACTACGACAAAGACTACAACTATGGAGATCCTTCCTGGAAGGAGAGCTCCGCGAAGGAGTTACAGAGAAAAGGTAAAGTTTGAACAGAGTTGATCTGTGTTGATTTGGTTGTCCTTCTCTCTCTCCTTGCTCCGCTGCTCTTATTCGAAAAACATCTTCGTAGCCTTCACGCTCCATGAAATCGCTTCCTCAACTGCTCTGTCATGAACTCCCACATGTCTCAACCGCCTCGATCCTTAAACTGCTTCGCGTGAACTTTACGTGAGTTGTTTTCATGATCCCGCGATGTCGTTTCCTTTTCCAAACAGCTCCGTTTGTTTTTTCCTCGCGACACTGTTTCAATATTAAACGACTCCACTTACAGTCTCACGGTGTCGTTGGCTCACTTGAGCTTGTTCTCCACGAAACGACCTTGTCGTCTACTGCTACGACATCGTTTGTGTTGCAATCTCTCGCGACATTGTTTTTACTAAACACTGTCGTTTATTAGTACAACAATGCCATTGGGCCTATTCGCGGTACCGTTTTTAAATTCGCGGTGTCGTTTTACCCATCCGCGATGCCGCTTGTCGCGGTGCCGTTTTTAGCCAAACGACACTGTTTCCCAATCTCGCGATGCCGTTGAGTTTCGAGGTTCGCGGCACCGTTTTATCTCTTCGCATCATTGCTTGACTCCAAACGGTGCTGTTACTCTCCTCCTCCGACAAGGAAAAATAAAATAAAAAACATTCCTTGTCCAACAGCAACACATGTCATGCGCATGACTCACACATGGTCTGCAACCAATGTCGTTTCAAGTACCGCGGTACCGCCGAGCCTCTTCGCAGTCTCGCTTAAATTCTCCGCGGCATTGCTCGACTCCAAACGACATCGTTTTGGCCATGCGATATCGAATTAAATGCCAAGACTCATTATTACGGCATTGAATTTAGGCCAAAAATATTTTATGTGTAAATAATGCCCCCACAACTTGGTTTGTAAGAATTTATGAACCAAGTTGTTAACATAATCCAAACAACTAAAATAATTTCTAACTTGACATCAAATTCTCTCAATTAGCAAGTTGTTTTATGGCCAAAATGGCCAATCAAATATCAACAAAACAATGCAATGGCCATTTTGAACGTGTTCAAGGCCAAGGCAGGGGATTTTCAAAACAACAAAGAATTTGTTTTTGGCCGCCGAGCATTCATGATTTAGTTGAATCTTTCTACTGTTCCACTCTACCAGCAACACTGCATTTTAAACGATGTCGTTTTTTTTCCCCCGCATCCCTCCAAACCAACGAGTCGCAGTGTTGGTTTCAGGCAAAACTGCTGATTAGCAATTCTCCCTGCCTCTAACAAAATTGGCCCATCAATCTTGCAACGCAGCGTTGCTTTGGTGAACCACTCAACATTTTTTTTTTATCACTACCGACCAAAAGGCCATTGCAATCCCGCATGGCACAATCTATTTGAAAGACCCGTACAGTCTCCGCAACGTTGTTCCAGCAACAATAGTGCTTAGCACTAGTAGCCGCAAGCCCGCAATGCTGTTTTGCACAAAAGCGGTTGCGTTATTTATATTTTTTTTGTTTTTTTTATATCAGAGCTGTTTGGCCGCACCAGCCATTAACTTTTTTTTTTCCTACCGGGGCTGTTTGGCCGCCCCAGCCGCAGCACTGAGATTTTTTTTTTTTTGCCAGAGCTATTTGGAAACAACGGCAGTGCTGAGAACCCCCTTTCTTTCTTAATTATCATCAGGGCTGTTGGCGGGCAGCCACAGAGCTGGGAGACCCCTCTTTTTTCTATCAGGGCTGTTAGCGGCAGCCTTTTTATTTATTATTAATTTTTTTTTTCGTTACTCCCCACCAGCGCTGCATCTAAACTTTTTTTTTTCCAGCATGTCAGGGCTGAGTTGCCACCACAGCTGCAGCGCTGACCCTTTCCTTTTTTTTTTAATTTAACAATCAGACCTGGCTGCCTCCTTCCCGCAAAGCCGCTAACTATATATATTTTTTTTAAACTATGCCGCATTTTCTTTTTTTAAACAAAGCGACCCATTCTGAAATTTTAATATTGCTCGCAACGATGTGGCAAGCTTCGCCATGCTACCTTTATATATATAGTAATTTTCTCGTGGCCTAAATTAGCCACACTCTATTTACTTAATAATATCTAAATAAATAAATAACGGCTAGACTTTGGCATAAATCATTATGCCAAAAGTCCACACCCACTGCCAACTCCATGGATCAAACCAAACAAGCCATCCGTAAAGTCCCTAATTCATACACAAACTACTATCGAAAGTTGGATAATCATTTTTCCAAATTTTAGGGGTGTCCCGGAACACCCCCTAAATCTCCATGTATCCGCCCCTGAATGCAAGCTAAACCCACCGAATAAATGATTAACAGATAAGTGACTCATTTAATCATGTTGTGGAGGCTCAACTATTACACTCCCCATTGTCAGTGTATTTAATTAAACTGTCATCAACCTGCTGATTTTCAAGAAGTTCCAACACCTCCATATTAGTGTTGTGGTATATGATCCACGATTGAACCTCTCCCAACAATTCGAGCTGTTGGAATCAACTGGTTTTTGACATGGTATCAGAGCCTTCTGTGACCGAGAGGTCTTGTGTTCGATTCCCGGTGATGACCCCCATTTGTTAAGCACATGGTATTCTTGTCTTCAGACCTGTGCAAACTTCAAGCCCTGTGAGTGGCTTTCATTTGTGGGAGTGTGTTAGTGTTGTGGTATATGACCCACGATTGAATCTCTCCCAACAACTCGAGTTATTGAGATCAACAGGTTCTTGACAATTGGCCTGCTGCAAGGACGAACTTTGCAAATAGTCACTTATACTTTACAGCTTTGTGCAGGTCTGCAACTCACTATATATGGTAGTATGAATGATTGTGTTGTCTCTCTATGGACTTTTACCAACCACACCAGCAGAGGCTGAATCCTCTCCAGTATCTATCTATCTATATCTATCTATCTATCTATCTATCTATCTATCTATACTATATATTATGGCAATTCAAAAGTAACTTCTTGCCACATAAGCACTTGGAGAAATAACAAGTTGCCTAGGTGGACATTTTTTTTACTAACAAAAAAATTTATATTGATCTATTTATGAAGCTATCTCTCTCTTCTTTTAGTATTTATGCTCAATTTTACTCTACATTAATAATAAGTTACATTGAGAATGTAAATAAAATCATGTAAAAATAATAATATTTTTGTCAACTAAACAAAATATAAAGATGGAAACAAAGAATGACATATATCGGGTTTGTTTAAACAAAAAATATATGATTAAATTTTATCAAGTAAATTATCTACTCATTATAACCAAAACTTAATAATAAGTTACATTTTAATAAAAAAATTTAAAAAAGTACACACACAAATAATAATATCTTTGTCTATTAAATAAAATATAACGACACAAAGAGACAAATCAAGCGTTTGACAATCAAACGACTTTAAAAATGAAATATATAAATTTATATATTAAACCTTCCCTGCAGTATGCTCTTTCATGAGTGAGATGCTACTAGCTATATGATTATGATTTGGTCAGTAAGTAAAACGTAGCAGAGGGTTATAAGTAGAAGGGAACACATGTGAGGTTTTATAAAGGTGCGAAGAAGAAAGAAAATGGTGGTGGTAGTCTCTAAATTGTCTATGTCTACGTTCTTTCAATTTTTACACATTTGCAATGACATTTATTTGTTTCATTAGCGTGAATTTTTTGCATTTCATTAGAGGCAATTGTCGTGAAGGCGAAGGTAAGATGGCTTTCTTACCTCTGCATGTCGCGTTTGGGGATCGATTTGGCTGTTTTGGTGTCTGATTGTTTTTTGGGTTATGTGTTTTTCGTACGAGAGTCTGGTCATGGGGACAAGGAGAGGAAAAGGAGGATAAAAGGCTGCCGGTGAGTGGTTTTCTCGATCAGAGGTAGAGGAGCAGACTGAATCCGAGGCAGTGGCGGATCCAGGGCTGGGCCAACCCAGGCCCCGGTCTAGCCCTCCTCCGAATTCAGAGTTAGTTTAGTGCTTATAACATATGTATTGACTATTGGGATTAGAGGTGAACGAGGTCGGCAGCTATCTAGTTATAATAGAGCGAGATATGAGATTATTACCGATTTATCTGGAACCAAGATACAATCACAAACTTCTATTACACGATGGAAAAGAACGACGCGCATCAAGATCCCATATAATAGCCCAAAGGCAACTCGACTTGGAGACCATTTACTCCGGGCCCAGCCCAATCTTCGTTTAGGCTCTATTTTGTTGGTCTGTTAGAAACCAACGAGAGGGACCACATTAATTAATATATTAATTAATTAATATATGTTGTGAGTTACCATTCTCTAATACTTTTCCAAGTGAAAGTAAGGAAGTTTTAAGTTGCTTCTTTTACCCCGTCCTCCCTTCTACAACTTTTGTGTCCAAAATACTCAATTATGACCCGAGCCTCACTCTGGACTCAGTCAGTTTTTGGGCCGGTTAGTTAAGCCACTAGAAGATCAAGAGAAACGGGTAATAAAGATTGGTTCCCTGATACATTTTCCAACTCTGGAACAGTTTATATACTACCTATTAACACATAAGCAAACAAATAATGACCCAACTCATAATAGTAGAGCCGACCGGGGGAAACTTGAAAGGATTCAAATGGTATCCAAATTGGCACACACAAAACTCAAGAACACGTATGACAATACCATATGAAAAAACAAGAAGAAACAACAAAAAAGGTCCCAAATTCTCATAAGATTAATAACCGAACTATCCAAGGCCAAATGAGATATTTGACCAATCAGTTTTATTGTTGTTTGATCTTCAACAATCTCTAAATACTCTTTCTTTCACGATGACAATCTATCGGGTCTAGACCAAATGTTCCATATCCATTAACCTATCCAAATTAGTTCGGGGTTTACTCATATCTATAGCTACACAATGCCTATATCGAGATTTCAAGTGTTCATAGTTATTCATGGGTAATAATTTTTCTTCATACCTAGGGATGAAAACGGATCAAGTTGGGGCGGATGGTTCATATCCATCACCCTACTCAAAGTAATTTGACTTTTAGCCGTAGCTATATCCACACAAGAATAGTATAGAAAATTAAAACCATGGTCACACTCAATCGAGTTTGTATATCCACGGTTATCATAGGTAATAATTTTTCTTCATGACTTTAACAAATATGTTACGTTAGCAATTAATTCTCACATTAAAAAATTATAAAAATACATCACTAATTTCAAGAAAATTAGTTAAAGAGAACACAATGGCATGAAAATATTATATATTTATAATAAATATAAAATATGATGGAAATATATAATGACCATTTGTAGATAAAACATATACACATATGTTTAATCGGGTGGGCTGGGGTTGGATAGTGATAAAATCATATCCATCCATTACCCACAATGTCCGGGTTTGATTTTTGCTCATGCCCACAAAAAACTTTGGGTTCTGGTTTTACACTACCTAATTAGGTTGGATTCGGG